TCTAAAGTTAAGTTTGAGTACAGAAATAAGTTAGGTTTAATTGAGAACCCAAAGGAATGTAAAACCTAAGAATGTTTGTCTTTTATATTTCAGTTCATTTATGTTTGCAATTCAGTTGTTATGCTTGAAGCTCTGTTGATTTAGTTTAAAGTTTTGTATTGGGTTTAATACATACTGTAATCATTTGATTAATATGTACCCAATATAATATTGTGATAAGATGGCAGTATGCACAAAATATGTTTCTCTATGTATGTAAAGTTAGTGGAACAAGGCTAAAATTTAGAGGGAGTGTTACATGTTTTAAATTTGTCGCCTTTTTCGACTACTATAGTGTAGCATAGATAATATGAAATGGTCTATGACCACCGTTCTATACTCTGTGCCTTTTGCGCTTGTCATTTTTCTCTTTGCAATACGCATCCATACAAACATGTTGTAAATTCTCAAGCTACTAAATAAAACTATTTATATCTTTCAAATCGTCGTTTAATTCATCAATATCCAACCATGGTGATAACATCCAAAACCTCTTTTGTTAAGTACAGGTCCAGCTTTGGTCTCACGGGCGGTTGATGTGAAATAGAAGTCAAGGAGAGCCAAGCTTCGGCACGAATAGGTCGGCTCGACCTGAGTGATACCGCGGCCTCACAGAAAATCGGAGGCCCAATCCTTTCCCCTCACCCCCATGCCTTTAGTCGGGGTTGCGGGTTAAGCGCAAAGAGACACCGCGGCCTCGGCCCAGAGCAGGAGAAGGAACGGGGGGTTTAGTCAGTAAGAGTCTGACACTCCTTCTCGCCTTAGCCTAGGCGGGAGAAGTCATTTGATGATTTTCCCCTGACAAAAAAAACCCCATGCCTTTTCAATCCGAAACCCTTATCTCCAAGAGGCGGGCAACACACAACAACATCAAAGGGGTGTTGCGGGTTTCCATTGGCGGCGACGATTGCTTACCATCAGGTAATCCAGTCGTTAACCCACCTATATCATAAAAAAATCTAATGACTGGCTATGAACTAACCTTAATATCCGTCATACTTAATAGATAGCATTTTAGTTTTTAATAAAAATTGTGTTAGCCTTGACTATAAACGCATGCTATTACCTCCGAGTATAAACGATCGATATTTATTTATTTTAAAAACTGTTGTTGCTGTTATGATTATTATACAATTCTACTTTCCAAGCCTGGCTCACGAACCGGCGAATCGTAAACTCGATTTCAACTTTTTTAATACGATAAAAAATTATATAAATTGTTACACGTCCATTCTTTGATTTTATGAAATAAGTATGCGTGACCTAATCATCCATAATCTCAATCTGCACGTTTGGTAGACAGGTTGAAGATCCTGGTTTGAAAATTTCAACTAAAGCAGGGTTAGCACAATTATTAATACCTACTACTTACGGCAGCCACGACACTTACGGGCAGGCTGGATAATAAGCGGCCACTGTAGCCTTTTTTTGTGAGGGGAAAATCATCAAATGACTTCTCCTGCCCAGGCCCGGGCGGGAGGGACTGTCAGACTCTTACTGACTAAAAACCCCCTGTTCCTTCTCCTGCTCTGGGCCGAGGTCGCGGTGCCTCATTGAGCTTACCCCGCAACTCCGGCTGAACATATGCCCTATGGGGCCCCGTCTGTAGTGGTCTATTAGCTGTTTGAGGACGCGCGCGGAACGCTACGCACCGTACGCTTGGGTCTGGTTCTGGTCGGGCGGCGAGCTACCCTTACTCGCCGTCCGCAGACCCGCGCTTATGGTGGCCGGAGATCATCTCTCAGGCCACTGTAGCCATAAGAACACACAATAATATAACACGAGAACGTTAGCGATACCATCTCAGATAGACGAATATAATTATTTTAAAATGAGAGTACCGTTTTCTTACCCGTCCAATAGGAAATTTGCCATTGGATGGTTATTTTTAACAGTTAAATCGATTAGGTCAACTGTCATCTTTCCCATATTATCACCATTTGATGAGAAAAGATAAATAGTGGCCATAATTTTGATAGAATACGTATACCAATTCTTGTGAAAGAATTTTTACCCATGAGGAGAACCCGGTCGGGTTCTGGAGGAGGTGGGCCCTGTGCTGGCTGGTATAGGGTCTGTGACTTGCTGGGGACGTTCTTACTTTACTCTGGACTTAGCAGAGAACGTGGCGGAGGAACAAGGGTGCCACCCTGCCAACGAGCATCATCGGGGCATAAATTGACCCCGACTGCATTCGTAGAATTTGTAACCCAGGAAGAGATCATGGTCATGTTTTATTATTCGGACCGGGACGAAGGTCCTGGTTTAACGGAGCAGTTACGAGTACGTTGCTGACCTTATAGGGGTTAGGGATTTAGAGATTTTAGGATATCGGCAGGGTCTGGTCGAGCCGACCCATGAGTGCTCTCCCACACTTAAACTCTCGATGAGTTCCATACTTATAATTTTATTTGAGTATGTACAAATCAGTGGCGTGGGAGTCAACGACATTACGTATAAATAAAATTATGAGAACTGACTCAGAGGAAATGGACAAATATCGTTCCATTACATCATTCTAATAGTTAGTACCTAAATATCGAAATAACAGATTATATTCGTTTATTGTTGGACAACATCCGATTTATAATCGCCAAAACGCGTAACTGTTCGGTAAGATAACGCGACTATATTCAAGCTAAGCCAGAACCCATACATTGATATGATAAACCAACTGATTTGGCTGGAAGCGACTTCCGCAGCATTAATCGGGTCTACGCTACGAAGTCGACTTTATCTTCTTTTAGAGGGGAAAGTCATCAAGTAACTATCTAGAGACATACTAAATTTATTGTAAACTAGCTACTCTCGCGCGGTTTCACCCGCTGCTCAGCTCCATTTGATCGTAGCGTGATGTTTCATAGCCTATAACACTCAGGAACATTGTAGCTATCCATCATTGAAAGAATTTTGACAATCGGAACAGCGGTTCCAAAGATTACCCCCTACATACAAACTTAGAAAGTTACCAATTTTACCTCTTTATAATATTAGTAAGTATAGATAACGAGTTACCCGTGCTCGTCCGCATTCTTTAGGGAGTATTTTTGAGAGGGAAAATCATCAAATGTTTTCTTTCGATCAAGGTACCGCAAATGGGAGTTTCAGACTCTTACTGACTAAAAAGTACATTGTTCCTTCATCTGGTTTTGGTCGGGCGGTGAGTTACCCATGCTCGTCCGCAGTTCCGCGCAAATTTTAGACCTGGTTGCTGGATAAGGCCATTACACCCTAACTGCTAGAAAATACGTCTTAACATTGTAACCGTAATTAACTTATCTTTACTAACATGCCAAAATATTCTAATTACTTGAGCTCTTTATCTCTTGCCATTTGACCAAAACAGTTTGTTTAGAAACTGATAAGAGAAACACAAACTTTTTTACTATGATAGGATTAATTGAGATAAGTAAAGACAGCCGTGTTTAACTTTGCAATAAAGCTAATTCGAGACACAAAGAACAATTGGTGCGCGAATGCCGGTGTTCACTTAGTATTATTTGTCTCTCATAGAATCTTTGATAAATAGAAAAAGAAAGAAAAGACAGAAGACTGGCCTTGTGGGGATAAGGGTTGCGGATATTTTAAGGATTGGGAAGGAATAGGGGAGGTGGAGAGATTGGGCCTTCGTTATTACTTTATTTTTTCTTTTACTTATGTACCTTTATTAAGTAGGTATATTACCTAAAAATAATATAGTGTAATTGGTTTTGTACTACACTATTCAAATATACAAAAAACTAAAAGTTTGTAAGTATAAATGAATGGATGTTTGTTCCCCTTTCTCGTAAAAACTACTGAACAAACCTGAATGAAATTTGGCACAGAAATAGATTATAGACTAGAATAATATATAGGCTACTTTTTACCAGTGTTGCTAGGAACAGAACCTAGTAACATTGTGTTATAAGGGTACAGAGAAGTGGTCTAAACTATTTCTTGTAAAATTGTAGAGATGAGGAAGACCCGCTGTGAACCAAGAAAAAAGGTTACTAAGAAGTTTTTACTATTGTTTTCTTTTAATACTGGCTTAGTACACAATAGTAACTTCTTTTTATGCTTCGCTTAGCCTCTAATTGTTATAATTGGCACTTAGACAATAGAACCATCTGTCCCTTGTCCAGTATATATAAATCACTGCTTATTTCATGAATAATACAAGACAATATTCCAAACATCCTATTATGAATGAAAACTAATTAGAATTACAAATTATTGTGTAAATTACACTTGCACAATTACTTACGCGTACAGCATAACGATTACCGCGCCAAATTTCATAAGACAACTTCAAATTTGATTTTTGTAGCAACATAATGTATGAATAAATGATGTTTTTTATTTTAAATTGACGGCGATTTATGGGGTAATGACTTCTCATGTGTTGAGAGAATATTTTAGAAACTAAAGACGTTATTCGCGTTATGTTAAATGACTTAAACATAAAATAGTAACGTCGCAACGTAATATAATTCTGGTTGAGCACTTAACCTCGTTGTTTACAACCAAGTTACACAAATGTTACACTGTGGTTATAAGCTACTAATCTAATTAGCAGTACCTGTTTAAATCTAGCACAAATCTTACTTATAAGAAACGAAAATTTCATAAATACTAAAATGAATCCTGATTTCGTTTGACCATCGCATTACGTGCAAACGGCTGGACCGATTTTGCTAATTCTTTTTTTGATGTGTTAATAGTCAGGAGAAGATGCTTATGAATGATTTTTTGAAGATTCGACAGGAATATCGGGAAATCAGCCTGGACTATTACCGGAATAGGCCGTAGTGTACGCAATATAAGTATTAGATACAAAACAACTAGTAAATTAGAGACGTGAGGTAAATCTTTTATGTTGTCTTGGGAACTAATACCCTTGCAAAGGTTGGTTGAGTCGCTAATTTCAAAAATAAATAAACAAAATTATATGAATAGTCATGTTTCTTCGTATAACTCACCGTTTAATGGCCACTATTCACTAGAAGGAATGAGATTCACACTATTACAGGTTACCCTAGTATTTACAAGCACTTTAATATTAATAACACTTAAATAAAATATTATTTTAGATTGAAAACAGACTATCACAATAAGTTTGATACAGCTGCAGCAGCCATTTGTAAAAAATACCAGTGTGATTACACTTTGTTAAATAAAACTACCCTACCAAAATCAATTACATTATTTTAAAAACATAAAATTCAATACCCATATATGTATAAAAAAAACTGTACTATCAGGACACATTTTTATATTTTGTATGTTCTGAAAGTATTTCTTAAGTTTTTGATTTTTATTCATTTTAAAAGCAAAAAATACTAAACTACTAAATTTATAATACTTTGGTAACCTTTATAGAAAGGTCGTTCCATTCTACGTAATAATTATAGTGGTACTAAATGTCACAAAAATGATTTCATTTAACCGTATCAAGGTTAATTTTAATATAAACAAAAACTATAAACATCACATGAGCTATACAAAGTTTTTGAATTTTGTAATTTAAGTAACATTTCAACAAGTAAATGAATCTAATTTAAATTCGAAACTGCAATTGCACAGTAGATTACGATAACTATGTTGTGTAGAACGTAACGTCGCAATATTTACAAATTTCATTCGTACCTATTTGTAATTCTTTTGGTTGAGTCGGAGAAATATAGAAAATTTCATAAAAATGACTTCAGGAGTGACAAAGCGACAAGTGCTATCGATGTACAAACTTCTCATGAGAGAAGCTGAGAAGTTTCCAAACTATAACTTCAGGTAAATTACTTCATCAGCGAATTCAAATTACATAACCTCTTTTTTTGTAGAAAAAACATAGGTACTTATAAATTGTTGGCAAATCATGATAATTGATAGTTTGTGGAAAAATGTATTTAGCTGCACGCGAACCTATTATTAAACCTCGATTCATTGCAAAGTTTTAAAGGAACTATTTCATCACAATTTTAAAATGTTGCGGCTAAGGATAAATACTGTCACAGAATTTTTATATTTGATCAATTAAATCAACAAGAATTTCTGTCAGACAATAAAATGTTACATGTCATTGATATTGTGTTTTAATTACACAGAAACACTTGTGTCTTTCAGTAAATTGATATAAATAGAATTACTGATTTTATTATCATATACCAGGTATGTTTAAGTTTTGCTATCACAGGGAATTTATGAGAAAACTTTATATTATGTATATATATCCAACATGGTAATCTAACCCAAAGTCCCAAAACTCCATTGTTGATAGTCACACTTGGGACCACTTGACAGACAGACTGTCAATTTAAATCTATTTCTAAGGTGGACGCTTAAATTTAATCAATTATCACCAAGTTTGATCAAGGAGAATATAATTAGAAGGTAGAAGTCCCGATAACTTCATGCTGTTTTTCTTTGTCATATGCCAGTGGTGTCTAAATAATCGTGTAAAGTACATACAACTCGGAAAAAGTGTCATTGGTACTAATGCATGAGGAGCAATCTCATTTTTATTTTATTTTATTTTATTGGCTTACGAACAACTGTTAACACTATAACACACTGTTAAGTTTATGACTTATGAGATACTTAACCTAGTGTTACAATTACTTATAGGTAAGCACCACATGAGTGATCTTAACCATGACAGTTTGCAATTTACACTGCAATATCAGATAGTATAATGATTAAACATATACTTGTGGTAATAAACAATAACCATGTAGGTATCATCACCATCAGCATTAGCCTGTTTCCATCCACTGTTGGACATAGGTCTCCCCAACAAGTGTTTACATAATTACACTAATATCCAAGCGAATGCTGATGTTTGTGCACCTATAGTCTTGCTCTTGAGTCTTGAATTACCACTATTGAAAGGTTTAAACCATCAATATAACGATAATGTCAAATGTACCATTTTAGCAAACCTTAAAGTACCATATTAATTCGACAGTGTTATATAACACATATTTCGTTCAACATATTTTTATAACTTCAAAATACTTGACTTGGGATATCTTTATCAATTTGTTTACATTGATAAAGTTATCACTCTCTACAATTTGAGTTTTTATTGGCTTAAAGCTACTCTTGTTACTGTATGCAATGTTATTTGTAATTGATAGATGCACTTGCTAGTAGGAAAGGATTTTTAGTAATTGCTGTGATTGAAGTTGTAGATCGGCTACATGCAAGAATTCTTTATGTAATTATCCACAAGTTGTTGTTGTCTTTAGTACAGGCAAACTCTAGCCATCTTATTACAAAACAAGATTTACCTTTAGTCTAGCCCCTCTTTGAAAATGACATCCTGTATACCTGTATATATTATTTAACTGATATATAACTTCATAGTTAAAAATTTCCCAAAAAACTTCATCTTGCTTGTGGTATATTGTCTTGAAATTAATAACAAAATTAGTAAGGCCGGTATTAATATATTATTTACATTGAAGTTATTATACTTGTGAACAAGACAATACAAAATTAGTAAACAAAAAATAGTTTTGATTTTTTTAATGCTTCAATCTTAAACTGTTATATTCTTCATTAGTGATCCACCGTGTAATGCTCATACTAAATTTCTCCTACCAAAGCTTCCTCTTCAATCACTCTATCTATTGAAAAAACGCATCTAAATCTGTTGCATAGTTTTTAAAATTTAAGCATACATAGGGATATAGGAACAGAAAAAGCGACTTGTTTTATACTATGTAATTATAATTATTACTCCAGAACGCAACAAATAAAAAAAAAATATCCTATATTTTTCAGATCCTATGCTTTGAGAAGAATAAGAGATGGCTTCAAAGAGAACAAAGCTCTTACAGATCTGAAACAAATAAAGCAACAATATGAGTTCGCTACAGAAAACCTTAGCATTATCAAAAGACAGGTAATAATCCCATCTTACTTCTTACTTATGTTATAAATTTGAAATAATGCGTGTGTGGATGTATGTTTCTTGTCCTTTTATACAAAATCTACTTAATGGATCTCAGAGAGATTTGGCACGAATGGATCATGCAAATTCACTCTATCTTTTGTGGTCTTTTGAGGAAAGAACAGCGTAATTTTTAGTGGACCTGTTGTGGTGGCAGGCGCGTATGTGTCGTGTGTAGCATGCCGTCAGGCTTTTGGCCTGACATGTGAGTCCGGTGCCTCGCTTCTGACGCTTCCCTCAAACTTTCAAGACCCATCCAGACTCCAAGACCACCACAGATAAGGCCCGCTAGGGTGGATGCTCGGCCAGGGTTGAGAGTCAAGCACAATGAAACATAGCACTTCGGCACTCTGGCATAGCAGGACTGTTTTTAGTCAGTCAGAGCCTAAATCTCCCTCTCTCCTCACCCAGATCTGGTGGAAATATTCGACGACTTTCCCACAGTAAAAAAGGCATTTTTCAGTTTACAATCAGCTCAACTAACGGGTTTTGCTGAATTGAATGGTCTGACGAACAATACTATTCAAAAGAACAATAGATTGCCAGTCATTACTTATGTACCGTTAGTTCGTTTTTCACAGGCTACTTTTATTGACTTGCAATGTACGTGTGTATGTTTGGGAAGTGGAATCTTACAACTAAATTTCGAATCTTATCTATCTTTATGGTAGACCTGAGCGTACGGCCGTAGCTTTCCGCGCGCGCCTCAAAGAGCCAATAGACCACAACAGATCAAGGGGCCCTATAGGGCAGATGTTCAGCCGGGGTTGCGGGGTAAGCGCAATGAGGCACCGCGGCCTCGGCCCAGAGCAATAGAAGGAAAGGAACGGAGGCGATTTTAGTCAGTAAGAGTCTGACACACCCTCCCTTCCGACCCTGTGCGGGAGAAGGCACTTAATGATATTTCCCACACCAAAAAAATGAAAACATCTTTATGTTGGATATCGCACTCACACGCACGAAGCGGTTCGCCTCCAGTTTTATAAGCAGAACCGCTAAGGAGTGGCATTCTTTGCGGAGTCTGTGTTCCCCGAAGGGTATAACCTGGGTGGCTTCAAGACCCGAGTGAATAGGTTGCTTAGGTATGTGTAGGGGTGCTCCATCGTAGGTCGCATCATCTCTTACCGTAAGGCGTGATAGCAGCTAAATGCCTGCCCATTACAAAATAAAAACAAAAAAACCTGATCTGAAAAAGTCTCTGAATTATTTATTAGCCCCAGTACTGATTGGGCCACTTGATATAAGGTTTTTTTTAATCAAATTTATTTAATTTTCAGGTCATCGTTGGAGACTTGTACAGAACAGACAAGCTGGTTATTGAAAATATTCAGTAATTGATTTTAGTATTTAACAAATTTTATGTAAAATGTAAACAAAAACATCACCTATAAGTATGTGGAGAGTGATTTGTACCCCTTTGTTAGATCTTGAGGTGCAAGGATGGATAAAAAGATGACCAAATTCTGGTCTTTTCCCGGAACTTTCTATAAAAGAAACTATTGTTTGTGGTATTGTATAACTGATACCTTCAAACCTTCATGAAAAGACCGTGTGTTGCAGTGTCCATGGTGGCACGGATTGCTTACCATCAAGTGATTGCTAGTTTACCCAATTTTTTGTTATGGCTTAGGGCGGCAATGTTACATGTAAAACAAAACTCAAATATGTTCATGGTCATTATGTTGTCTCTTTCTTCATAATTTTTTTTTTTTTGAAAATAACGATTTAATCACCTTAAGTAACTGAGAAAAAGTACTAGTAACGCGTCGCAGTTTAATCATCTGGGAGTCATATGGGTGCCGTCGGTTGCTTGCCATCGTCTGCTCATTTGCCGCCCTATGTATGCCACAATTAAAATTCTTGATTTAAGTATCAGTTATAAAATTGCTTCTATGTATACTATCTTACTTGTAATTAAATATAAATAATTATTCGTAATAGTCACTCCACTGCCGTTTTTAAGTTAATTATTTTCAAATGTAGAGGATCGTTACACTCCGAGTGGCGCTAGTGTAGCTTATGGTCGATCCACCAATAAGATCTGCTAAATATTGTGATCTATCCAGCCATTGGACAGTCAACTTTAACGGCTAAGCTGATTGGACAGATCACGCTAGACAGCGCCATCTGGAGGCCACGTTACTCAATACATTAACGGTTTTATACAAACTAAAAGATATTTTTGTTAGTTTTACTCAATTCCGAAAAGGGAGATAATGTGTTTTGCTCATGTTATGTTTGTTATAGAATAATATAATATTACTATGACATTTTATTTATGTATTAAATATTGCATTTCTGTTATTTATAGAAGTAAGATTCAACTATGTAAGGCTTATTAGTTGTTAGTGTAAATACATTTATGTTGAAAATATTATTTTTGTTTTTTCTGGCTACCATTGCTTGGAGTAGAAGGAATGGGGTGGATTTTGTCAGTCAAAGCGTGATACTCTCGCGTTACGAAGGGCGGGAGAAGCCGACCGATTATTTTTCTGAATTCGCCTATGTAACTCTTGAAATTGTTCAGCTTAACCCCATAGATACCCCCAGATCGGTCCAGCCGTTTTGGAGTGATTGAGTAACAAACATCGTAACTTTCGCATTTATAATATTAATAAGAAGAAAGATTGTCTTGTAAGTCTCACTATAAAATGGCGAGTTTTCTGTCATACACTGCACGGTTGGTACGGTGGCTGGGCAACTGGCTGCCGTGCAACGTGTCGCGGGTTCGATTCCCGCACGGAACAACTCTTTGTGTGATCCACAATTTATTGTTCCGGGTCTGGGTGTCATGTGTACGTGAAATTGTATGTTTGTAACCGCACCCACGACACAGGAGAAAATCCTAATGTGGGGCAACGTTTTTTGATACAAATAAATAAATAAAATACACTGGGAACAAATATCAAAAGGTCTCGTTTTTTATCAAATTAAAAATATATAATGCCTTGTTGGGACCCCAGTTGCCCGCTTGACGTAAAAAAACCATTGACATAGGAAATATATGGACTTGAAATACCTACGAAAAAAAGGTGCCTACCTACAATTCAAAATGTCGCATAAGATGGCTGCCGTTGCTAGGGTTGTGCCGACTAAGTATTTAACGAGTATCGATACAATTTGAGTAAAAGTTCTACGTAGGTATAGTTTTAGGGATTAGCCAGCTGATTAACGGTATTTTTTATGGGAAATCATCTAATGTCATCTCCGGCCTTTTTCGGGACAGACCGTTACTGACTAAAATCAACTCCTGTTCCTACTTTGCCGTCGGCCTAGCTAGAGCCCGGAACCCGGGGTTAACTTGGTCTCTTGATTGGCTAATGATTTTCTCAAGTCGAATTTGTATTCATATAATTCTACGTAAAGCGTCTTTTAAAAAAATAGGACTGTTTTTATGAACAGCGTTTAATGGAATGGTGAAATAGAAAAAGATAGTGTTTGTTAAATGTTTATCTTTATATATGTGGAAAACCTGTGGGTATTTGTGAAGTGCTCGCGCACAATTTCGGCGCGTCTGATTAAACGATGATATCTTCGAAACTACGTTAGCACAAAATAGATATGTAGTGAAGTCAATCTTATTGTATGTATCTCACTTTTTATTATTACGCTTGGTGGTCGCACTGGGATCGTCGCCAACGCCGCTCTGTCAATCGCGCCCGTATAATTATAAAACATGACAATTTGAACTTCTACATATGTAACTAAAACCAATACCAAAATACTGACGTCTTACTTTAGCGTTACACAAAACTGCGGAAACATCCATTGTTAAAATAGATTATTTAGTATATGTTGAATTTTAAATGGGAGATTATATCGATACTTTTGTGAAATGGTACGTAACTATGCCATATTGACATATTATTGTAAACAACAATTTTTTACTAAAACTGTCTCACAGACAGAAATAAAAGTAAATATATATACTTTGCCAATAGATTAAAGTATCCGTGACATTTTTTTCTATCTATGTGGATTATTCTAAGTAATATTTGATGAAAACTGTTTACTAACCTATACAAAGACAATTGAGGTTGATTTTCGTTCTTTTTTGCACCACACTGCACAATACAACACACAGGCATATTGTTTTTTTGTTTCACTATATATATTTGAAGTTTAAAAAAATGGTTCTTTGTAATTTACTGAAAAACCGCAATAATTTAAAACATAAACAACCGTTTGACAGGACAACTACCATGAAACTCAGGTACTCTGAGCGCTTAAGATGGCGGACATGGCACTTACCTACAACTTTGCTAATGTCAAAATGATTTGTTTCCATATTAAGCAACAACTTAAATATTGTTGTCCCTTTTGTCTAATACAATTATTGCCTTAGAAAGAGTGAGAAAAAATGATATTTCATAGTCTGTTTCATATTTCCCTCATATTTGTATAAGCATGTATACTTCTATAGTAACACGGCGCCTCTATATATTTTCTATCTCAATGAAAAAAACACTTGTTTTATTTCTACCCAACCGTTTTCTTAACCTAGTGATTGAAGATTTTTGAACTTTTTAAAAGAAAATTTAGAACCGGATACAGGTTTGTTGTATTCGTAAATATCAAACATTCTCATTGTTGCTGATAGCGAGTACGATCGCCAAGAAAAGTACTTATCAATAGCTTAAACATTTTTCGAAATGTACCTGCAGTTTTATTAGAATTTGAAGAATATACTTTTTTTAAACGCGTTTCTGTTTGAAAACGAAAGGGAAGGACATATCTATATTAATATTATAAAGAGGTAAAATTTGTAAGTTTGTATGTTAGGGGGTAATCTTTGGAACCGCTGGTCGGATTGCCAAAATTATTTCACTGATAGATAGCTACAATGTTCCTGCGTGCTATAGGCTATAAAACATCACTCTACGATTAAATGGAGCCAAGCAGCGGGTGAAAACGCGCGAGAGTAGCTAGTTATGTACCTAATAAAAAAACTAAGCAGTGACTCTTTAAGCTCATTAAGGACTGTATCTGAAGGGGGAAGCAGGGATTGATTGGACAAGCAGTAGGTACTTCAAAAGCGGTATTTGGTGTCCAAAACAACAGTTGCCTTATTTCGAAAGCCTTTTTCAGTTGACTTATTTAAGAAACTAGCTTTTGCCTGCGACTCCGTTTGCGTGGAAGTGACTTTCTGCTGATTTTTGGTATATAAAAACTATCCTATGTCCTTTCTCGAGTTCAGTAGTTTAGGTGTGAAGAAAAGACAGACAGAGTTACTTTCTCTCTCTCTCTCTCTCTTGGATAAATCTGCCAAAAATCCTTTGACAAAAATATTGTAGGTTACCTACCCCCCTTTTTTTTAAATGTAGTACCTAAACTAAGTATAGTACCTATCTCAATTGGTTCTAAGTACCTAAGTACCTACTTAGGTAATTCTGTTGCTTTTTTATAGTCACCAACCCCCTGAAAACCAGCAAAACCCAAAGTTTTATTAAGCTGTTGACTGTTTTCTTCTAAACCTAAATAGTTCTTAACGAAATTGTAACAGAATTGAGGTAAATATTCATAGGTACGTGAATAATACTTAATAACCTATCTTCATTTGTTTTTATATTTACCTTTATATTATATTTAGTTACCTACTCTGATTAGCAAGGAAGGAATGTCAACTGGCCTGAGTTTAACTAAAAATTAGCAAAGAACTGATTAAGTTTTATTAAGCTATTTATACTAACAAGTAAATGAATGAACCAATTTGTCCTGCAGCTGTGCCTTGTCAGTCGAGACCAAATAAAAATATTATTTAGTAGGTACCTCAATGAATAGGTACTTAAATACCTACCTACTAAACCACACATTAAAAAAATCCATAAATTGAAAAAGGGTGTAAAACTGATAAATGTTTTCTATTTTTTCGTTTTCACAATTTCTTCTCAACTGTACACCGCTTCACAATACCTGCAGTAACGAATTGAGAATCATTTGGAAACATCACTTTTGGTGCACGGTTAATGTGCCTTTATTTAAGATGATTTTATTAATTTTGGGACTCTTAGTCGTCGTGAATGCTGGACCTGCAGCTGACAAGGAATCCTACAAAGATCAATGTAAGGAAATCACATTATTTTATAAATTCTTTATTGTAACTTATTCCGCGCCAAAATGTGACGTTTATGAAAACTAAACGAGTGAGTGTTGCATGTTTAAAAATTATACGTTTTGCAACGTTTAATTATTTGTTATAATGACGCTTTGAACGTTTTTGACTAGATTTCTTTGGGAATTAAACTCTATATTAACCGCTAAAGTAATATTGTCACAGATAGCTATCTAGTTTTAAAATACTTAACTACGTAATAGAATTATTGAAACTTATAAAATAAATATTGTGCCAGTAATTATATTCTTAAAGGGGCATTGATAAAATGATATGGTTGTCTCAATTGTTTACAGACCGAGGTTCTGGTCATGCTGAGAAGACCAAAGGGAAACACGTCGACCATAATTCGAACTGTAGATATCATTTTGCAATATTTATTATTATTTATAAACTAACTAACGGCTCGCCCCTGTTTCGATACCCAACTATACCGGTGTTAGTAAATTGTTTAATTAGCAAACTGCGACGGCATCGAATGGGTTGCTGTTTTGTAGTTTTCCTATCTATTAACAAGAACCATATCCTCATAATAAACTAACACATTACAAAAATAATTATCGGACATGATCCCATGACCAAGGGATGACCCATGTTAGGATTAATATAAGAATATAGTAATAGGCTTTTATCTCAAATCCCTCAAGTTCATTCGGTAATCTTAATAATAATCAGCCTGAATTCAGACTTAAGAACGAAATTTCTCGTTATCGCTCTCAAGACCACCAGCAATGTAAAATGAATAAATTAAAATTGAAAACTGAGACAGAAATAATAAATAAACATGGGTAAAACTGTAGGCACGAATAAGTACCTATCTAATACTAAAGTTCTATTCTGTTTAGATCATAATTTTATTTATCTGTAGCTTAGCTGTTAGTCTTGTTGCGGGGTAAGCGCAATGAGGCACTCCAGGCTCTGCCTAAAGCAGGAGAAGGAACGGAGGGTTTTAAGTCAGTGACAGTCTGACATCATCATCATCCCTCTCGCCTCACCTAGATGGGAAAAGTCATATGGTTGTTTTCACCTCAAAAAAAGTTAAAAACAGACGGAAGCGTTAGAATTATTTTTCTAGTCTGAGAACAAATAAAATTCACACCAATCAATCAACTTTTGAAACCGAATAAACGCCCGTTGTTTGTAGTTTTGTTGGGTGCTGTTCAAACAGTGTGCAATGTTTTCAAACAAAACCCTATCACGTGTTCTGTCAATCATCTCGTGTTCTTTACAATTGTATTTAGCACTAGCTAATCTCGCGCGGTTTCACTCGCTGCTCGGCTCCATTTTATCGTAGCGTGATGCTTTATAGCCTATAGCACTCAGGAACATCGTAGCTATTTATCAGTGACAGAATTTTGGCAATCCGACCAGCGGTTCCAAAGATTACCCCCTACATACAAACTTACAAATTTTACCTCTTTATAATATACTATAGAATTATAGATTTAGCCTTTCCAAGAATCGAACAAAATGTAAACACGACTATGATATTTTTTAATAGAATCTTTTTTATGTCATAACATGACTTCTTCTGCTTAGCGAGACCTCTTTCGTTGGGTCGTGCGTGTAAAATGTTAGACTCTAACCCCCTTATTACAAAACAAGGTTTATCTTTAGTCCAGGTTTAAACCATTGAGTCGGGTTTTGAATTTTGAATCTTATTGTCATCTACCTTCAATTCGAAATACGAAAACTGGCTCAATGATTTAGTCCTAGACTAAAGTAAAACCTTGTTTTGTAATAAGGCCGAATCTGACTAAAAACCAGCCCGTTTCTTCTCTTGCTCTGGGCCGGAGCTGCGTTATATTATTGCACATGTATCCACTCCCCCAGCTGCATATTAAAATTTTATGTTAAGTGTATTAACCCTGAAGCGAATAGTTTTTTAATCGGGTTGGATAGTTTTACATAACCTTACCTACACAAACAAATTATTTGATATTAAGAGCAAGCGGATTACTGATGGTAAGCAATCGTTGCCACCCATGTACACCCACAACATCGGAAGAGTTACGAGCACGGTTCCGGCCTTTTGAAGATTTAGGGATTAGGGAGGGGAAAGATTGAGCCTTCGATAACTTCACTCACACGGCGAAACACAACGCTGTGATTGTTATGCTGGTTTTCTGTGAGGCCGTTGTATCGCTTCAGTCGAGCTAACCCATTCGCGCCGAAACATGGCTCTCCTACATTTAAAAAGAAGTTTGGTTAAGAAGATGGAAACACCGAAAGATGTATACAGATTACGATACTAACGATAAAGTCGGTGAAGTAGCTGGGCAATCAACTGCAAAAACGAAACCGTTCTAACGAGATCAAATCCTTTATTGTTGTTTTGTGTATGAGGGCCTAACATAACGTGATAAAGCGTGAATCTTCTGGACGAGAAAGAGGGATAGAGCTATAAATGGTGTACAGCTCCATCCCAAACTGTGGGAGAGCCATGCTTCGGCACGAATGGGTCGGCTCGACCGGAGTGATACCACGACCTCACAGAAGACCGACGTGAAACAACCACAGCGTTGTGTTTCGCCGTGTGAATGAGGCTACCGGAGGCCCAATCCTTCCCCGCCCCCAATCCCTCCTCAATCCCTAAATCTCCAAATCCCTAATCCCTAAAAGGTCGGCAACGCACTCGTAACTCCTCCGTTGCGGGCGTCCATGGGCGGCGCTGATTGCTTACCATCAGGTAATCTGTCTGCTCGTTTGCTGACCAATTACATAAAAAAAACCCTCTTTCTCGCCCAGAAGGCCTACTGGGCTTTTCAATTTTATTTGGCTAAACGATACTAAGTTTGACATAATAATCTCGTTGTCCATAGACTGTACGGATCCTAGAACGATGAGGAAGCACGCAGCGTACACAGAGTGGGCAGACGCATACTCGTGCACCAGGCATAGGTGCCAGCCTGGAGGACGGAACCTCGCTATCTATACAGTCGGGTAAGTAGTGTGAGGAAGAGATATTATATTTATAACGTTGTTTAATACTTGCGAAAGCTGGTGGCTTAATAATGTGTCCCAGTTATACTCCATAGTCTTTTTTTATGGTATAGGTCGGCAAACGAGTAAGAAATCAGTGCCGCCCATGGACACCTGCAACGCCTAAAGGAGTAAATAACGAGTGCGTTGCCGACCTTTTGGGGATAAGGGGTTTTGAGACTGCATTGGGGAAGGGGAAGATTAAATTCGGGACTCTGTTAATATTACTCACACGGCAAAACACAAAGCTGTGGTTGTTTCACGCCGGTTTTCTGTGAGGCCGTGGTACTCCTCTGGCCCACGTTGAAGCCAGAGGGAGTGTCAGACTCTTACTGACTGAAAACGCCCCCGGTTTTTCTCCTGCTTTAGGTTGAGGCCGCGGTATCTTATTGCGCTAGCCTCGCAACTCCGAATTCTATAGCTTAACCATCTAAATAAAATGAGTGCACGGTTTTCGCGGTGGTTGGGTAACTGGCTGCCGCGCAACGTTTCGCGGGTTCGATTCCCGCAAGGAAGAACTCTTTGTAAGAATCACAAATTGTTGTTCCAGGTCTGGGTGTGATGTGTACTTGTATGTAAAATTGTATGTTTGGAAACGCACCCATGACACAGGAGAAAATCCTAATGTGGGGCAACGTTTTTTTAAAACAGAAAAAGAAACAGTGTGGACCCAAACTATCCTAAAAATAGCTGAATATCCATGCAGTTATTTTCGAAAAACATGTTAATATACGGCCATTTTGAAGTTTAAGATGGCCAAACAGAACAATGAGGGTGTTGAGCAATAAAATATGTATATTTTCATTCAGATGTAAGCGCGTCGAAGCCCCCGAGTCGGCGATTGAATGTGAAGAAGTGGTTGAAGACACCAACATGCAGTTTCCATTTTGCTGCACTCGTCTCAGGTAAGAACTAGAACTGGATGAGGGTTTCTGGAGAACATCAGACTAACAGAGAAACAAAACGTTTCATTGGAACATACTTAGACTCTTTTTATACATACAAAATGAATCGAAGATATATAAATAATCCTAGCTTTTGTAGATTCGTTTACATCCCCCATCATCCCTTATTATATCACCATGGGGGTTGAATTTATCAAATCGGATACTTGACTTAAATAGTTAAGTCTTTAACATACTCGTAGTAAGCTCCTATCTTTAATTTCAGTTCAATCAGTCGAAAATCTAAGAATATTTGTACTGATTTTCATCCCCTATTTTAGACTTAACTGAATAGATCAAAATCATTTCTTAGCGGATGCCTAGATATCATAGCATCAACCTGCATGCCAAATTTCAGCCCGAGCCGTCCAGTGGTTTGGGTGCGTTGGTAAATCACTATGTCAGTCAGACACCCACTATTGAGTTTTATATATTTAGAAAGATATAACTATAGACAATATATACAAAGTATTCTTTACATAAAAAAGTAAAAAGTGACTAAATCAATTCAAGGTCGCAATTTACACCAACCATTCAACTCTAACGGCCTTATTACAAAAGAAGGTTTTACTTTAGTCTAGGACTAAGCCATGTTATAAGGGGGTAAGTCTTTCGACGTAGTAATAAGTTTACGATGCTTAATTTCTGATTGTTAAAATATCATTACTCTAGATGTCTGGTGGTAGTTCGTGGAGAGGTATGGACGAGGGTGCTGGGCCAACCCTGGGAAGTTCTGCCAGCAGCGCCGTGGAGTCACATGTATAAGATGAAGAAACCTCCACCAGCTGACTCCACTTTCCTTCCCAAGTAAGTGTTTTAGCTTTTTGCATGCCACCAGTCTTATTAAATGTGATACACGGGATTTGGTCATATCGTCTCATCATTTCAACCCTTATGGTTGATCTAAACACTGCTGTACACAGGCTTCATCCATTAAATCCAGATCTTAATTTAAAAATCAACATCACCTAAAAATAATAGCTCATATTGTGTAAATTGTCCAGCCATGTAGCTAGTAGCTAGCTATGCCTTATTTTCCATTAATTCGGTCGTTTCCAACGAGTCAAATTCAATACTTTTATTGAAATTTCAAAAACGATACTTTTACTCAACATTGTGACGTCGTCGTATTAAACATTTTTACGTCAAAAAGAATACTTATTACTTAAAAATTGGCTATAAAATTTAAAAAATAAAATACTTTGAAATGAATACATGAAAATATGATTGTAGAAACCTACCCAATTTTTTGACGTTTTTTCATTAATTAATATTGACTATGGCATACAAGAGGTTACAAGCATAAAAAAATCACGTCGCATAGGTTATTTAGTTTTAATATTTTATTGTTGTAAGTATAATTAAAATGGAATGGTTATGTTAAATAAAAATTGTTGTTATTATTTATTGAATTTTTATTTATCATCAACCTATCCTTATAACTATTTGTCAATTTTTATATTTGACCATAACCTATTAAGATTATGGTAACATTATTTTGACACATAGATATTAATGTTTTGGTGGTGTCCAATGCGGTAGTTTCCCACTAGTCAAATTAAATACTTTTATCCAAATGTTAAAAAAACGATACTTTTCTATGTAATTTGTATGAAAAACTGAGTTATGACGTCATAAAATTTTTGCGTCAAATAGTTTACTTATTTCTTAAAAATTAGCTAAAAAATCTAAAACTTAGTGTTTTGATCGATCGATGAATAAAAGTATCTACTTATAGTTATTTTTCAATATTTTATTGTATTGAAACGTCGAATTAATTTATTTTTGACCTAAAAAAACTACCCAATTAAACCAATGGAAACTTTATCAGAAAGGATTGTTATAGGGTAAAAAATTAAAACAATAATGATGATAAGCCTAGACAGAATTCTGATTAGAAGAAATATATAAAAAATATCCATTAAAATACAACTTTTCTAGTGATTCAAGGAAGGAAGTCTCGCCGTAGATAACAACAAAAATCTGTCGCTTTGTTAAATGCTCACTCTCAGTCTCATATAAATGTTGAGGATACTGCTAGACACCTAACACAATCTTTTTAGAATACGTGCTATTACTGAGAACCAATCAAGCTTTCGAAACTAACCTAACCTAACCTAAAAGACTATTTACTCCTCCAATAATTATGATAATTTGAGCCTGATTCCCTCAGTTCGATAGTCGCACTTTTAAACTTTTTAAACAACGAGGCAGTCATGAAATGATTCCTACAAAAACAGATAACTCTTACCTTACTTACTTATATTGGACTAAACTAATGTCTGCATAAATTGATTTTTATTAATCGTTGCACTGGGATGCAATGCTGGCACTAAATTTATCCATTAATTAATGGATGTTATTGTGATTGATGCAGTTGTTATTGTTGAGCGATAGATTACGCTACAATAGGTACATAAAGCTTTCCTCTTCAATCACTTTGTCTAAAGCAAAAAAAACGCAACAAAATCTGTTGCGTAGTTTTAGTTTTAAAGATTTAAGCATACATAGGGATAGAGAAACCGACTTTGATTTATACTATGTAGTGATAAGGTGGCAAAAGGTACGCATAATAGTAAGCAATCGGCTACGTCCATGGATAACTGCAACACAAGATGAGTTACAAGAGCATTGCCGCCTTTTTGGGGGGGTTATCAGATACTTTGTGTATCAAGGACAATGAAAAGGGAGGAGAAAAGTATATAGTACTACACGAGCATAAACTTTTATAATACCAAAAAAATACTCTCAAATGAAAAAGTATACTATTCGAGATCGCCCGTGACGGTTTTCGACTTAGGACTACTTATAGGTTGACGAGATGATAGGGTTTCCCATAACCTGCACTATTTACCAGCTAGTTAGAGCCTCTACGACAAACGAGGAATAGGAGTATCGATCTACATATTTATCAACAAAACTTCATCTATCAAGAAGTAATCTAATTGATTTTTTCCAGGCCAAACGAACAAGGCCCAGTGTACGAGCTTTCGGAAAACGAATCGGACACCGGCGGTCATGATAAGGTGCTACGATCAGGCAAGAAGCCTGTTACTGACCCTGACTGCAATGAAATAGAGCCCAAGGCCGCCCCACCGCCCCCAGACATCGTGGTAATCTAACTGTGATGGGATTGGCTATCCAGGCCCTATCAGTAGATCGACTGATAGACATCATCAGCTCGCTTCCAGATTCCATGCTGAGCATAAGCCTTTTCAATTCCAAGCTATTAATTCACCCAAGTTCGCCACAGCTTACTATTTTTTGTATGTGATAGGTCGGCAAACGAGCAGCGGATTACCTGATGGTAAGCAATCAGCGCCGCCTATGGACACCAACAGATGATACACGAGTGCGTTGCCGATATTTCGGGATTAGGGACTTGGAGATTTAGGGATTGGGCCTCCTTTAACCTCACTCATACGGCGAAACACGACGCTACGATATCAAAGTATAAAGCGGCTTTATTAGTGTGCTGTCGTACGACGGGACATTAATAAATCAGTTTTATAATAATATCGTTTTGAGAATAGAATTATTAAAATCGATAGCTATTCTGGGTTTTGTAAAGTAAAGCCAAAAACTTGAACAAGACTTTAAAGAAGAGTGCCGTACGTCAATCATACAATAATTTACCTTTAAAATAACTTTTTACACAAGACATGTAGGTATGGTTACAAAAAAGAAAGTTTATCTACGTTACAGATCGCATTGTCAACAAATAATAACGAAATAAAGGAACAATCTCACAAGAAATATGAGGCGAGGTGAGTTTTCGTAACCTGTTTCAGTCACGACAATCACGCCTGTGTCATTAACAAAATATGTTTAAAAGAAAATACGAGCAGACAGACCGCTTGATTGTAAGTGATCTGCCCTGTCCATTGCTGGAGTTGGGAAGTTCCTGCTTGAATTTGGATCTCGCTAAAAGCACTCCGGTTCAACACTCTTTTAAAGATCAGCTCCAAAGCCCTCACCATAGACTCTTTTTGACTCTTCAAGCTGTCCCTAAAATGTATTACCTACATTTTAGGGATTAGACTTAATACGGATCCTATAAGGCACAGCTTGAAGAGAGTCATTTAACATTATTATGGAATGCTAATGAAGAATTTAACTTTGCATTTGAATAGAAACTATCGTGAGTCATACTAAAATTCGAAAATAACGACTTGTGTTAAATAACTGAGAAAAGCTTGACTAGTTTCAAGTCACAGCATGACTCTTATTCATGAGCAGCGTACGCATCGCGGTGACTTCAAGCAGCCAACATACTCTCATATAAACTCAATGAGTTTTGTTTGTGAGGGGGAAAATCATCAAATGGCTTCTCCCGCCGACGGTAAGGGCAAGAGACAGTGTCAGACTCTTACTGACTAAAATCCCCCGTTCCTTCTCCTGCTCTAGGCCCTTACTGCTCTATCGTGGCAAACCCGTCTTTATTTTCATACCTACATTCTTAAAAACTGTGTATACAATATCCAGATTTGATTTACATCAGACACAGGCGTTTTAATCCTTAAAAAAATATATTTAAGTAATTCGGAGGATTGCAGGCGTACTGAAACTAAACATGAAAACTCCAGACACAAGAGGCCTCGTAAAACAACCGCAACCACAACAACTCAGTACTTCGAGGAGGATCGGGAAAGAGATGGAGATAACAAGGGAAAAGAGAGAGAGAAACACACAGAGTCTGAGGTACAGGAGGTTGAAGAAATACCCGCGTCTACTGATAAAGTAAGTTTGAAGTGGATAGTAGTTAGAATGGTGTGGTATTTTAATGTGATAGGTCGGCAAAAAAGTATAAATGTGGAGGGATGGAGAGGGAGAGGGAGACCATAGAAAATATGGATGGATTGTGTGAGAAGTGATATGGAAGACAAAGGAGTTAGCGATAGGACAAAATGGAATAAAAAAACATATTGCGCCGACCCCAAATAAAACGGGACAAGGGCAGGAAGATGATAATGAGGTCGGCAAAAAAGACACTGATTTAAAAAATCAGCATCACCCAGTAGCACCCGCAACAGTGGTGGAGTAACGAGTGCGTTGCCGACTTTTTGGGGATTAGGGATTTGGGTAGGATTGAGGGAGAGGAAGGATTAGGCGTCCAGTAACCTCACTCACACGGTGAAACACAACGCTATGGTCGTTTCACGATGGTTTTCTGTGAGACCGCGGTATTACTCCGATCGAGCCGACCCATTGGTGCCGAAGCTTGGCTCTCCCACACTTGATTATACAAATTGATATCTATAAAATATTTGCAGCCTCCAGAAACGTCCGAGGAGAAGATCTTCGCAAATAATTCGCCTTCTAAACATGTGCGTATGCCACTTACAATTATTTTACAAGTATTGTCTATCGGTTTACTAAGAGTATGGTTAAAAAATCATAAGCATCTGGTCTTATAATCTGGTCATGATAGTGAAAGTGAAACTATGTTCAAGTCAAATCATTGATATGTATTTCAAATAGCCCATTACAGACAGTTTTGAATGTCATTGATGAAAATTGACTTGAAGAAGTATATTTCTTTCCAGGGTGGTCACCATCAGCTGTCGTGGACTGAGATCCCTCTGAACCAGTGGAATGATCCGCATGAAGGTTTGGATTTAGAAAATCGAGTAACCGTGAGTGTTTTTTTTATGTAATGTGACGTCAAACGAGCAGAGTTAATCTGATGGTAAGCAATCAGCACCGCCCAGAAACACCCGCAACAGCAGAGAAGCTACGAATGCGTTGCCAACCTTTTGGGGATTAGGGATTTGGGGATTTAGATATTGGGGCGAGATTGGGGGAGGGGAAGGGCCAGATTGACCTCACTCACACGGCGAAACACAACGCTGTTTGACGCCCGTTTTCTGTGAGGGCGTGGTATAAGGCCTTTAGGATGGGCCGCGGTAAATTTTCGTTTGACCTGTAGCCCTAGGACCGGAATATGCCTACTACTCAATTATATCACATTCTCAGATAAATACAAGCCTTTTAAATAATAATTATAGGAGCCACAATATCAGGCGCAGGATACTCAACCCCAAGAAGCACCAGAACCGAAAGCAGTAATAAACCCCGCAATGAAGGCTAAAGATGATAAACCAAGTAATTTACAAGTTCTAGTAGACGCTATAGGCACAAGAATGAGGGACATTGAGAGTGTTGTACAGAAAATGAGTGAAAAAGTACACCAAGCAAAACCTGGAGTTGAAGGTAGCGTAGAAAAAAGGTAAGATGAACCTTGTCAAACGCCTTACTAAATTATCTTGGTGCCATTTTTGTTTGTACCCTGAGGGACACCTTTGATATTTCCGAAAGTATCTTTAGCCAAGAATCTTGTTTCAACTAGCTTGAAGATCTCTATAGATCAGTTTTATAAATAAAATTCCAACTTTATGCTGAAAACCTATATTTTTTATATCTATAGTAATACAGTTTTCGCCTAAAGACAGAATTTCTTCGTTTTCTATGTCGGGACTGTCTAGTTCTTCCTACAAACTGTGTTAAAACAATTTTGGAGTTTAATATCTTTGTTCTTTTAATTTTATTCAGGATGTCGGCTGAGCAAGATGGAACAAATACACCCCTTAAAGAATCTAAAAGACACAAGACTGAAGAGGAATCCTACAAAAGGTAATGATCATTAAATTTCTCTTATAGAGATCTCAATCCCACCTGATGGTAAGCAGTGATGCAATCGTTGATGGTAAGGCGCACTAGTTTACTATAGCCTTGACGTCTTAACTAGACAGGAAAACCATTGCAGGCATGCTACTCCAATCCTTACATGTGCGTGGTATAGGGTAAACTTGCCTAATTCGTACCACATAAGGAGAACCTCGAAATTTTTGGAAATGAACAATGATACACAGTTATTTATATTAAGTAGTTATAATTAAACTAATGTTCTATTAGTATTCCGGCAAAAAATAACATAAATCTTATAAACTTCCAAGAAATAATCAATTTTCAAAAACTTAAAAAAAGTACGATTTAAGACCATTGATCTTAAATCGTACCAGTGTCGTACTTCGAGATCCTATCATTGTTTTACAGTCTTAAAAATCACAATCTTAATAATCTTCTACTCTTTTCAATCTTAATGTACCTAGATTACCTAATTCTTATTAATACAGCGGATGGTCTTTTTCAAATCTTGAAAGTCATCGCAGTAATAAAATTTAGTTTTTTTTAATTCGTCCTGCATGTGCAGGACGAATTAAAATTAGCTCATGTACCCATACTTCACAATTACTGCATAAAATCATGTTCTTTTAGTATTTTTAAATAAAAACCAACTAAAAAATAATCAAGTAAGTAATTAATATTTACTGTGAAATTAAACATTGTTTTCCTAAATCGTACGTACGTACGTTTTAAGAAGTTGCTGCGAGTACGAATTAGGCACAAGTATCAAATGAATTTCAAATTTGCCGAAAAAAAACTGTCAACGAACAAGCCGGTTTTACTATGTGAAATATATTCAGAAATATATGCATAAATATATAATAAACAGTTAAACAACTTATGAACGGTATACTTGGAAGACAGTTCTTGTGAAGTATGCAAAAAAATTACTCAAAAAGTAAGAAAAACCTTACCTGTTCAATATTTTTGTCGGGAGCAACGTAAAAGGTGTTTATTTGTCATATGGCAATCTGGCCGACTATTATTGACATTTTATGCCATCAGAGGCGTTGGTAACTATTACCCATGCCGAGATATAGACGAGGTACGATTTAGGCGCAGGTACGAATTAAGCAAGTTTACCTATAAACCATGAAGCGAAACGCTTAGTCCGGATGGTAGAGGTCGATGTATGTGACTAAAAATCCCTCAGGGCTAAGAGACTTTTGTCTGGATATTTATTTATGTTCATATCATCAAATGACTTTTTTCCACCCCGTTCCTTCTCCTGTCCTGACTAAAAACCCCCCCTCTTCTCCTGCTCCGGGCCGTGGTGGCGGTGCCTCAATGCGCTTACCCCGCAACCACGGCTGAACATCAGCCCTGTAGGGGAACCGTCTGTGGTGGTCTATTGGCTCTTTGAGGCGCGCGCGGAACTCCGAGGCTGGATCGCGGTTCTTTATACCGCTTTCCATAGACTTCTCTGTCAACGAATACAATGTCAAATACTTAGTCAAATTATATAACGAGCTAATTTTTGTCAATGTTTATGTCTATCTCTTATAAGCTATAAACTAACTCACAGAGAGGACGAAGAAGATCCCTTGATACAGTTGAACCAAATAATTCGGGCAAAAGCCCATCATCGAACTTGCACTAAGTGAGTAGCAGTCAACTCAAGATAGTCTAAAAAACGTCATGGAGAAAGTATAAGAAAATGCGTTTGTATGTGCCAAGCCCGAAAATCAAACGGCTGGAACCAATTCGCTGCAATTCGCTCTTTTTAAAAAACGCCAAATCCCAATTTTAAAATTCTGGATCAAGTCAAAAAAGTTGAGATCATTGCATAAATTCTCGAAACGTGCCCATTTTGTGGTCTTTTACTTGGAGTAAAAGCTTAGTTGATGAAAATAATATATTCAATGTAATACGTGCCCAGAAATCACTGACATACTTTGAAGAAAAACGTGAAAGAAATCTTGATGTGGTATTTCGGCAAATGAGCCAGCAGATTACCTAATGGTAAGCAAGCGGCGCCACCCATCAACATCCGCATCACTAGGAGTTGCTGGTGCATTGCCGGCTTTTTGGGGTTTTCTGATATTTAAGAGTTAGGGTGGGATTATTGGAGGGAAAGTAGGATTCGGCCTCCGGTAACCTCACTCACACGGAGAGACACAACACTGTGGTTTCACGCCAGTTTTCTGTGAGGCCGTGGTATCAGTCTAGTCAAACCGAGTCATTTGTGCTGGAACATGGCTCTTCCAGACTTACTTTGAGAATAGGCCTATTCAGACCAGTAGACCACTAGCAGGCTAATAACTTGAGGTAATTTGACGTTATTTTTAAATACTTCAAAGACTAAAACCCTCCAATCATCATCATCTTTCTGCCCTTGTCCCGATTTATTTGGGGTCGGCGCAATATGTTTTTTTCTTCCATTCTGTCCTGTCACCCGTCACGCTATCACTAACTCCTCTGTCTTCCATATCATTTCTCACACAATCCATCCACATTTTCTTTGGTCTCCCTCTCCCTCTCCATCCATCCACATTTATACTCATGGCTTTTTTTGTAACATGCGTTTCATCCCTCCTTTTCACATGGCCATACCACGACAAACGGTTCCCTTTCAACGTTTCAGTCACTGGCGCCACTTTCAAACTTCCTCTAATATACTCATTTCTCACTTTATCCATTTTGGTCACATAACACATCCATCTCAACATTCTCGTCTCTGCTACATGCAAACGCTTTTCATCCGACGACGTAAAAACCCTCCAATGACGCCGAAAAATGACGAGTGTACGTATAAAACTACTTTCTTTTAAAGGTTCTCGGTGCTTAGCAATCAGGGTAGCAAATACCTTCATAGCTTCACAGACAGCCCTACTGAACCCCCGCTAATTTTCGGTGACACTAATCTGACCGGATATTTCAGTGATGCTAGCAACAGTGTTATAAGGAGGAATTCGCTACCTAAGGTAATATTCATTTATGTATTTTAGACTATAATATTTTCTTTTTTATGTAATTGCTCGGCAAACGAGCAGACGGATTACCTGATGGTAAGCAATCAGCGCCGCCCATGGACACCCGCAACGGAGGAGTTACGAGTGCGTTGCCGACCTTTTAAGGATTAGGGATTTGGAGATTTAGGGATTGAGGAGGGATTGGGGGCGGGGAAGGATTGGGCCTCCGGTAACCTCACTTACACGGCGAAACACAACGGTCTTCTGTGAGGCCGTGGTATCACTCCGGTCGAGCCGACCCATTCGTGCCGAAGCATGGCTCTCCCACACTTAGCGTCAATGTTGCGTGTAATCCTGATTCTAAACTTCTACACTATTTAATGGATGTTATTATACATATAAACCTTCCTCTTCAATCACTCTATCTATTAAAAACTGCCGCATCAAAATCCGTTCCGTAGTTTTAAAGATTTAAGCGTACATAGGGATATAGGGACAGAGAAAGCGACTTTGTTTTATACTATGTAGTGATTGATTTGAGTAGGTGTATTTTTGGTTTAAAAGTTAACTAATCTTTTTTAATGTAAGAGGAATAAATCAATTAAACAATTAGTAGGTATGCCAAAATAAAATACGATAAACGAAAAAGATTTACCCCCTTATAACAAAACAAATTTATATAAGTCATAATCATTTTCAAAGAAAAGTGAGGTTAAAAGATATTTTTTACGATTTCATTAATATCCTGTTTATTTACTAGGAACCCCCACCAACCTACATGGCTCCGGTAGAAACTCGCAGATCCAAACTCCCCGTACAAATGGCAGTCGTCTCCGATAATTTAGATGATAAAGAAAATAAAAAGAAGAAGCATTCACACAAGAAAAGGAGGGGTAAAGGATCTCATTCTCACAAAAAGCACACCCGCTCTAAAGAAGACAAGAAAAAACATTACAACAGACTCAGTTCGGGTGAAATTGAGAAAAATATTGTGTCCTTAGAAGATAGTAGTGCGCTCGCTAAAAAATAGATGGCGTTGTTCGCAACTTTTGGTAAATGGCTGAGCATTTTTGTGTTATATTCGTTTAATTAACGATTTATTTTTGTTATAGGGTTTTTAATCAATTTGTTTTATGTAAATTGTATCCTTTTTACTTTACCAAATAATTATAGTAGTTGATATTTGACGTCGAAAAGTGTCTATAAGAAACATCATCTTATCCATAATTTGACCAAAATCAATTCAGAACTGTAATAAAGTTTTTTTTTATATCTTGTCTATAGATTGTATATATATTTTTTTATTTTGAGCTAGGTTAACCTAAGCCAACAGAAATGCCAAGCCATTTATTGATAACTCCAAGTATTTACATTTAAATAAATAATTTACATTTTTTTATAAATATGTAATAAAGTGTTTAATTTTTTTGAATTTCTTTGTTTTATTCCACACCGTTTTATGTCACCATCAACTGTTATTAAGTAATATCTTTTCAGCGGGCTGCTTTCGTAAAGAATGATGATTTCGATTCCCACACGAAAGTGTATGACCTATGGTAAAGTTAAGAAAAGTACTGAAATGAAAATTAATTAGTACCTACTAAGATAATATTGATATAAGATAATATGACAATTAGGTACCGCGGCCTAAGCAGGAGAAGGAACGGGGGCGTTTTAGTCAGTAAGAGTCTGACAATCCCTCACCTCACCCTCACGCGAGACAAGTCTCTAAGAAGATGATTTTCCCCTAACAAAAAAATACTTACTTAGTATTATGAAAGAATATCAAAGACTTGAAATTGGAGACAATAAACAGCGAAAAAATAATACAATCAGACGTTATGTAGGTACCTATGTATTCAGTATTTTATGAAATGTAAGACTTACCGACCGAATTACTATGGATCCACCATATACTACGTTGGAAGAAATAAAATTGCAAATTCTTGCATTTGATCATACAAACATGCCAGTTCAGAGTCAGTCTGTACGTCGATTCTATAAAATTTGTTTGATTTTGAATCTTGTTCGCGTGTGAAGTGAGCGTCGAAATGACGGGGAAATTACATTATAGAATGCCACTTTTAACGTCATCTCATACTTTATCTATCAAAATGTAGCGGTCAATTTAGTTCAACTCGCAAGTGTAGCGCTAGTGTACTACTGTACTCACAGCAGTCTCAAGTTTAGAATGAGGTTTTACAGAATCACACAGCTGTACTCCAAATGTAGCAACGAATTTAGTTAAAAAAGTAACCATGGAGTTTCTTGCTCGTTCTTCTTCATTGGAATCTACACTTTGGAACGAGCAAATAGCTTCACTAAAAGAACTGAACGATAGTGTGTTCTTTTTTATCTTTATCCTTTGTTCGACGTTCGAAAGTGCCTCTAACGGTCTCATTGTAATAAATGATTAGACTTTGACTATGACTATCAGCCAGAAGACGTCCACTCCTGAACAAAGACCTCCCCCTTAGTCCTCCACGTCGAATGACAAGTTGCCTCCTGCATCCATTGGCTCCCCGTGACTCTGACGATGTCGTCGGGCCACCTAGCGGGAGGCCTGCCCTTACTGTTTTCCGGCACTCTCTCGGCACTTTCTCATCGGCCGTCCGCCCTTCGAGCCACGTGGCCTGCCCTCTACCACTTGCAATTGCAGGCTGAACCTGCTGATTTTACGAGCTTTATCGGTGACTTTGGTTCTTTGGCGAATTTCCACGTTTCGGATTTTGTCGCTAAAAGAGACTCCAAGCATAGTAGACCGGGTGTTAAAGACAGCGTCTCAGTACCATACGCCATCATCGGTAACACATACTTAATGAACATTCTGGTCTTCAGGTACTGTATTTTTGATGAGAAGAATTCGCGAACTTCTTGATGCCGCCCATCCGACTTTTTTATGGAATAGGAGGCAAATAAGCAGACTGCTCGGACTGATAGTACGTGATCGGCGTCGCTCATGGACACCCCGCAGCACCAGATGAATCACAGGTGCGATGCCAGCCTTTTCAGAAGGAGAACGCTCGTTTCTTGAAGGCTTAACCTTTTGTATGTCTTAAACGTGGATCCACGCGAGACACAATGTATTTTCTCTTATAAACCGACATTCAACGGGTTAAAGATCGTATCGGTTCGGGAATACCGCCGCCGGAAGATCATTCCAAAGTTTTTCTGTACGGGGCAGAGACTTTCGCGTGAATCGCATAATTATTGACTTCCAACCATCTATGTGATGGGGATGACGCTTTTGCGTAGACTTGGATTTTTCGGGCGACCTCTTTTTCGAAGTTGGACCTACCTAACTGAATGATCTGACCAAGGACCGCTACAAGTGCAAAATGGACTTTTGGCATGATCTTTGTCCATGTTCATTTTAAGACCCACCTTGCCGACCTATCAATAAAAAATACCTCTTTCGTTTCTTCTAGATTCATCAATCTCTAAGAGCAAGCCCTTCGATTGAGAGGTGCTTTTAATTAGACCCTTTTTCAAAATATAGCAGCTCGGTACGTCAAAGAACCTACATAATGTACCAAATTTATCATGGTCTCATTTTGTTTAACCTTTTCTCACATTTAGCGGTCAGTTTATACTGGTTTTTCGGGTACAATTTCATGAGATCGTATCCAAACGACAGCAGTATAACCTACTCTTTTCTGTCAAATTCTGTATTAGAATACAAACTTTACCATTTCGTTATAAAGTCTAAAATTGTAACTGGCAGATAGGATGAGGTTGACGCGCTGGTTAGGCAATATTCCATCATCCCCTTACAACAGATTTTTCCTCATAAAAAGGGGTTTAAAAAAACGAATGTCTTTAGATAAAAAACCGCGGTCTGTAAATCATCTATTTTTTACGATGATAAGGGCCGTATCCTTCTCTATCCTGTTTTGGGGACCAATTATTGTCTGTGTGGCAACATATTGACGTTTCGTTACCTTGTGTCAAGCGTAAAGATTTCTTTCTCGGTAGTCGCTTTCTAAATTAAACATTTAATAATAATTTAATAATTTATGTACACACAAACAGCACAGAGGACAATATACATAATTATATTATTCCTGATGGAATGTCTACCAGTTGAGACAGGAAATATAATGAAAATAGAAGTACACAATAAACATTTCTTGTTCGATCGCGAATTTCGATATGTTTTCAGTAAGTAAAGGCATGCAGTATAGAATTGATCCCGGTACGTAGCAAAATGCTGACTGTAATGGAACTTACCTACTCATAATAAATACCTGACGAAAAATTGAATATAACTTGGTGCACGACATGTGTTGCTTATCTTTTTATACAATAAATAGTAGGTAAATCATTCAGTGATTTTTAAGGTTTTCCTAGAACAAAAAATCTAAGGAATACACACAAGACTTCATGGATTAAAAAGAAGAAGAAGAGACGTAGCTTTTTAATTTTAAGAAATATAGAAATCACCTAGTATTTTTTTTCTAAACGTAAATATCGAGGTTTTATAAGTCAAGCTACTTAATTCTTTGTAAATATTACCTGATACTGTGTGTGATAGTCGGGTTTTAAGCAAAAACATTTAGTTAGGTACAAAAACACCTGAATGAATAAAAATATCAAGTATTTCCTTGTTGTTGTAGGTAGTAAGGTAAGGTAGTAGTAAAGTCTTTTTTTGTGTACGGAAAATCTTCACATAACTTCTCTTACCCATGGCGAGGGAGAGTCAGACGGCGCACTAGTTTATTAAGACCCTATTCACTCTAGCCTTGAAGACATCTAAATTGTATTCGGACGGAAGACTGCAGCCGGCAAACTGTTCCAATCCCTCGATGTACGCGGTATAAATGACGAGGCAAAACGCTTAGTCTGGGCCGCAGGTGTCTCAACAACGTAGGGGTGGATACTCGCCGTACGCCGGGATGTCCGAAGGTGAAATTGGGATGGCGGAATCAAATCGTGCAATTCCTGGGCACACTCTCCAAAATGCATCCTGTAGAAAACCGCAAGGCTGGCTACTCTGCGCCTGTGCTCGAGACTTTGAAGATTGAACCCAACCAAATCTGGATCACCAATCAGCCTCTTTGCACACCTTTCCACTGAATCCAAAGCCGCTAGGTGGCATTTGGCAGCACCAGCCCATATGTGGCTGCAGTACTCCACACACGATCAGACCTGAGCTTTATACAACATTAGAAGCTGACAGGTGTGAAAGGCCGCGTAATTCATAAACCCGCAACCGCGGGAGAAGTGTGGAGAGCCATGCTTCGACACGAATGGGTCGGCTCGACCGGAATGATACCACGGTCTCACTGAAAACCGGCGCGAAACAACGACAGCGTTGTGTTTCGCCTTGTGAGTAAGGTTGCCGGAGGCTCAATCCTCCCCCCCACCGATCCCTCCTCAATCCTAAAATCTCCAAAACCCTAATCCCTAAAAGGTCGGCAACACACTCGTTAATCCTCCGCGGGTGTCCATGAGCGGTGCTGATACTATCAGGTTATTCGTCTGCTAGATGGCCGAACTATAAAATACAAAAAAAATTACATGTTGTCAAGTAGGTACACGATATTGCAAGTACTTAGGTATTATTTCTACGACCAGGGATGAAACATAATATCAATAAACTCTTTGAGAGATAAGCTGCAGTGTGATCTCTTTCCCTAAGGAAACTGCCAAAGAATTATGCACTTGTTTTAAGGGAAAATTTTATTCAGTAACTAGTGACCCGTGCAATGCTGATATTAAATATTCCCATTATTTAATAGTAGATATCACTATACATAAAAACCTTCCTCTTTAATTACTCTATCTTTAAAAAAAGCCGTATCTAACCCTTACTTACTCATTACCCTACCCCAATCACTCCCCAATCCCAAAATCTCCAAATCCCTAATCCCCAAAAGGTCGGGAACGCACTCGTAGCTCCTCTTTTATTGCGGGTGTCCCATGGGCGGTGCTGATTGCTTACCATGAAATAAATAATAATAATTGTACAGTTTATAAGAACGTTGTTTTCTAAATTTCGTATAGTTTACAACGAAGAGTCAGTCACCGCTTGATTAGATATAAAAATTGTTTCTTGCGAGAGTCACTAACATCTGACCTCTACGTCTCCAGGGTCGGGTTATGGACGATATAACATAACATTGACATTACAACTTATAACATAATCCCGGAAACATTACGTCACACAGATACAGTTTTTTTTTTGTGAGGATAAATCATTCAATTACTTCTCTCACCCAGGGTAAGGTGAGAGGGAGTGTCACAGACTTACTGACTAAAAACTCTTGTGCCTTCTCCTGCTTCGCAACCCCGTCTGAATATCGGCGACGTCTGTGATGGAGTAATATTTCTACAAACCTATGCATGAAAAGATCCCAGGTGCAATGTGGGCTGCTGTTTTTGTCATGATAAGCGTGTTGCTCTGTCTCAGGCGAATATTATACTACTTGATTAACAAAACGCTTATAAACCAATTACATCCAGTGCCGGCGTGAGGGCCACAGACACCCCTGGCGAAAATATTGTGACGCCCACTTGAGGGAAGCAATATCAAGCGTTAGATTTTTGATGATCAAAAGTAAAATAAAAAAAAAATCTCAATAAAAAATATGCACATACACAGAGCGTGGAGCACAATTCTGGGTTTGCATCAGGAGAGGCAAGAGACACCAACTTCACACACCTCAGCGCTCCCCAGAAGTTTTCGCTCTGGGCCAACGCCCCATCAAAAAAAAACGACTAACTCACGTGATTTTCACATTACATGTTCGTGATTATCAATCACATTACGTTCATGACCATAAATCTGCTCATGAATAAGAGTCCCGTTGCGACTTGATACTAGTAGAGCTATTCTCAGTCAAATCACGTGAATAAGTAGTTTTTTGCAATAAATTTAGTATGTCTCACAAAAGTGACAAGCACAAAAATTTAATTAATTATTACTTAATTATAAAAAACAACCTTTATCAGAAGGCTCAGTACACCGAGGACTAAACACTTAAAGACATTTTTATCGATCTAGAGTGCCGTCATACAGTTAGTATTTGTAGCCATGCAAACTAAACGACTAGGTACCTATACAAAATTTTAGCTCAATCGATTGAAGATAATAAATACAGAATATGGGCGGGAAACAACATTTAGGTATGATGTTTTTCGCTGTCTGAAATCAAATTCAAAATCAAATCCCCTTAAATTCTTTACAACCCACAAATTAATTCAAAGCATTGTAAATCATATTGTGTGGGTGGTGCTGATTGCTTATCATCAAAAAAATTATAACTCACGCAAGTAATAAACACAATTTTGCTTTTAAAACAAAAAATGAACATGGGAAAAAAATATCAATCAATAAAAAAGGCAAAGATCACAACTCCATTCAGCCAAATATGTCAACGTCACCGTGCACCCCAATGTTTTGTCACAACGTTACCTAAAGGTGTTGGCGTATAAAAAAATAACGCGGGGCCGTTAAATATAAATGAAAAACTCGCAAAGCAGCGTATCATTTTGAGAAGCAACATGTGTCGTATCAGTATTCTCTTGTTACTTGCCTGCTACGGAGCTGTGAGTATTTTTAAACATTGTTTTATTTTATTATTACGGGCTGATTTTTCAACAGTTAGATAAAAGTTACCTCTGGAATAATTATGATGCTGTCGCGTCACAATGTTTGTATAAGACAGTGAGAGCAACAATGAAATTCCTCAGATAACATTTATCTGACTATGGAAAAATCAGCCCTCAGTTATAATAATTATTCGCGGCGTATCTTAATTTTAAGCTGGTTTCTAAGTGAAGATATATTTTTTTGTTTTATCTGTGCTTTATTCATTCAAAATATCACGCTACTACCAATTGGGATAAATAGCCGGTGAAAAGCCTTCTAAATAAAAAAGTTTGTAAATAAATATGGATGGATCTTTGTGATTCTTTCACGTAAAAACTAATGAATGGATTTGAATGAAATTTGGCACAGAGATAGATTATAGTTTGGAATAACACATAGACTATTTTTTTCCGGATTCGCGGGCCAAGTCGCTGGAAGAAAGTAGTGTATTCTAAAAGTAAAAGTAAGTTTGTTTGTTTTCTTTTATAAGCTTCAAAAATGAAATATATTTCAACATATTATCTGTTATTTTTGAAATAATTTAAATAATCCGTAATAATCTCGACTAGGCGGTGTTGGAATTCTCGATACTCTCAATAATGAACAGGTGAATTCAAATCAGAATTCTATCAAGGTGTGATTGTTTAATCGTTGAATAGATTTTTAACCATTTGTTTTAGGGATAAGCGATTTGACTAAATTCTTCGTTTAGATTAGGTAGGGTAAACTTGCCTAATTCGTACCACTTAAGGAGAACCTCAAAAATTTTTCAAATGAACAATGTTACACAGTTATTTATATTAAGTAATTATAATTTCACTAATATTCTATTAGTATTTCAACAAAAAGAAACATAAATCTTATAAACTTCTGAGAAATAAACAATTTGCAAAAACTTAAAAAAAGTACGATTTAAGACCATTAATCCTAAATCGTACCAGTATACTCTTAAATCGTACTTTGAGATGCTATCATTGGTTTACAGTCTTCAAAATCACAATCTTAATAATGTTTTCCTCTTTTTCTTAGTCCTAATGTATCTAGATTAATTCTTATTAATATAGCGGATGGCCAAATCCTGTCGTCGTAGTAATAACATATTGTTTTTTTTTTAATTGTTCCTGCACATAGCTCATGTACCCACACTTCACAATAACTGCATTAAATCATGTTTTCTTTTACATCTTCTTGACATATTTTGCAATACCAACTGTCATTTTCATCTTGTTCTTGTTTGCTTACTCAGGTGTTGTCGTTTTCTTTAAATTTTGTTTCTTTGATATGGTCTTCCTCTTGGTTTTTTCTATCTTTATTTCGAGCTCTCGTTTATATGGACTTCCTGTACTAACGAGTTATACTGTCTAAAGAGTTATATGTTCTTTTTGACATGTTGCACTAAAATAGTAACAAAAATAATTAAAAACAATTAAATAAAAAAAAACAAGTAAGTAGTTAATAATTACTGTAAAATTAAAAATTGTTTTCCTAAATCGTACCGGTACGTTTTAAGAAGTTTCTGCGAGTACGAATTAGGCACAAGCATCAAATGAATTTCAAATTTGCCGCAAAAAAAATTTACAACGAACAAGCCGGCTTTACTATGTGAAATATATTCAGAAATATACGCATCAATATATAATAAACAGTTAAGCAACCTGTGAACGGTATACTCGGAAGACAGTTCTTGTGAAGTATGCGAAAAAAAAACTCAAAAAGTAAGAAAAAACTTACCTGGTCAATATTTTAGTCGGGAGCAACGAATCAGGTGTTTATTTATCACATGGCAATAAGGCCGACTATTATTGAAATTTTATGCCATCAGAGGCGCTGGTAACTATTACCCTTGCCGAGATATAGACGAGGTACGATTTAGGCGTAGGTACGAATTAAGCAAGTTTACCTATATCTACTTATTGTAAACCAGCTTTTTCCCACGACTTTGTTCACGTAATATAGTGACTTCCTGCAGATTTTTGGTATAAAAACTATCCTATGTCCTTTCTCGAGTTCCAAACTATGTTTGTACCAAATTTCACAGAAATCGCCTCAGTAGTTTAGGCGTAAAGAAAAGACAGACATAGATACAGACAGACAGAGTTATATTCGCATTTATAATATTATATGTATAGATATAGATAGTACCTATAGACTATCAATTTTTGTATGTAGGTATGAATGTATGAGTAATACTAACATAACTATACCATGATAGGTATAGTTTGTTATTATTTATCTTGTTGTTAAAAAGTCATTCACTTTCAGGTTTATCAGCAGTTACACAAATACTTACATATAGTTCGGTTTAATAACAATTACGAAATACCAGATAGATCACACAGTTTTCACAAAATGATTATTCATCATCATCATCAGTCTATAAGTGCCCACTCCTGAGCAAAGGCCTCTTCTCACACGGAGAAGGTTTGAGCATTCACCACCACGCTTGCTCAAGACGGATTGGCGATTTCAAACTTATCATTAGAAATTATAAGTCCAGGTTTCCTCACGATGTTTACCTTCACCGTATGTCAGTGGTGTCTAAATAATCATAGAAAGTAGGTACATAAATATAACTTGGAAGAAGTCACATTGGTACAAGACTTACTAGGTTTTGAAAAACGCCCCATAGCCCATAGCCACGTTCACTCACGGAAAATTGGTTTTGATCTAAGACCTAATACCTAGGCGATTTTGGATGACTCAATGAGTTATTCCGTACGGGTCTCAAACCCGCGACACGTTACACGGCATCCTGTTGTCCAACCACAGAGTAAAATTCTACCATCAAATACAAAATATAGGTATCTATAGTAACGAAAAAGACTGTTTTGTTTAATTATTTGCAATCAGGTCTAAAAATAGCACTCGAACATGTCAGGGCTTTAAGAGGGTAACGTCACCAAGGACGAACAGTGACCTCATTTATTTACAATCCCTTTATAAACGTGTGTTTGCGTATACATAATAATATAATACATAAACGGTGTTAGTACCTCCTGGCTACACAACAAATTACAATACTGTATATTAACTGCATAGGTATATGAATAACACAAAGTAGCTTTCTCTGTCCCTATATAAACGCTTAAATCTTTAAAACTACGCAACGGATTTTGATGCGGTGTTTTAATCGATAGAGTGATTGAAGAGGAAGAGGAAGGTTTATATGTATAATAACATCCATTAAATAGTGAATAATTTAATATCTTTTTGCACCCGTGCGAAGCCGAGGCTGGTCGCTAGTCTATACTTCTATAGACATATAAGAGGTAAAATTTGTAAGTTTGTAAGTTTGTATGTAGGGGGTAATCTTTGGAACCGCTGGTCGGATTTCCAAAATTCCTTCACTGATAGATAGCTACAATGTTCCTGAGTGCAAAAAAACATCACGCTACAATCAAATGGAGCCCAGCAGCGAGTGAAACCGCGTGAGAGTAGCTAGTAAGTTATAAAGTCACATAGCCTCACAGAAAACTGGCGTGAAACAACCACAGCGTTATGTTTCACACAACATGACAAGGACGTGTAGGAGCAATGTGTTTTTTAACTTAATCTTCGGGATATTCCCATCATCTTTTAAATTGCGACAAGCCAGCTAACCGTCTTCTGGAAAAAAGTCTGCAGTCCAGCATGTAATTTTGCTATCATGGCCTTCATTGTTCTTTTTCAACTTGCACATTTACTTATAAATCTCATTTCAAATACCCAAATTACTTATTAACGAACTCGCTAAAACATAATCTACAGACTCTAAGACAGCAGTAGATACTTACAGACAAACGTCTCTTAATATTGATTTATTTACAACTTTAAACAACTAGTTTAATCAACCTGAATCATAGTATAAATACTGACTATAATTCATACCTTATCAATTGTAATCACTACTTAGAATCTAGCTTCTACAAATTGTTATTTTACGAGTCTGAGTGATGCATTATACTAGCATCCGCCCGCGGCTTTGTCCGTGTAGTATGTTGATAAAAAGCACCTTATGTCAAAGTCAAAGTCAAAGTCAAAATCATTTATTCCAACTAAACTATATAATAGGTACTTTTGAAACGTCAAAATAGAATAGTAGTCTGTCAGTCTGTTCGTCAGTGAAGTTAGGTGCTCGTTCCAAATTGTAGATTCGAATGGTGAAGAACGAGCAAGAATGTGTTTATCAAGGGTATCACCTATCTACATACCAAATTTCAACCAAATCGGTCCAGTCGTTTTTGCGTGAATGAATGACAAACATACATCCATACATTCGTACTCACATTTATAATATTAGTAGCACATGCTTGTGCTTGTGTGTTTATCAATGCGCCTACGCACGACGCGCGACTCCACACGCGAGAATATGTTGGGGTAGGGCAGGGTCACGTAAAAAAAAATAGGAATGTCGGAGATCGTCGCTAGTCACCCCGCTATCGAGCCATTAAGTTAGAGGTTTTGGCAGGGTTGTCATTATTTTCAAAAATTAAATTAGGTATTATTAGATTAGCTTTTGCCCGCGACTTTGTTCACGTGGAATAGTGACTTCCTGCAGTTTTTTGTTATAAAAACTGTCCTATGTCCTTTCTCGAGTTCTAAACTATGTCCGTACCAAATTTCACACAAATCGGTTCAGTATAGTTTAGGCGTGAAGAAAAGACAGACAGACAGAAAGGCGGAGTTACTTTTGCATTTATAACATTAATATGGATAGTTTGGATTATTATGCATAAAAAGTTAATAGTGTAAGTAAATTAAAAAATTAAATTAAATTCATATGGAAGTCGTCTGTGCCTACCTACTTATTTCTTATTTCAACCAATCAAAGATTTTTTCAAATACGCAATCGTTAGTATGTAATAGAATATTAAATACCTACTGTCTGTGTGTTTCTTTTTTTAATATGAGACTAACAGTTGATACTTTAATTTCTCAATACAGAAAGATAATATAATATTCCACATCCCTACTTTAATAAATAGATCTGTTTGTCAATATTACTTGGCAAGCGGGATGTCGCAGTTTTTGGCTGATTCAATTTTTTTGTCAGACAGCGATGTAGCTTGGCTCCTATAAATATTATGCAGTCCCTTATTCAAAATGTGCAGGGATTATAAGAAATGTATTCCCAAACTGTTGAATTTATTTCAATAATATATTTACTTGACTATGTAAAACACGGACCATTTTTTTATTCTTTTATCGAAACGGAAATTCATCTTTAAATATCTTTTATTGTTTGAATCCTGCGTTCTATTAGTGGTTAACTGTTGAGTGACAACCCTGCAAGGGACGCACGCACACACACAAGCCATCGAGTAATAGAATCATTATTTTTGTTAAACTTTGTCAGTAAGAGTCATGCGTTCGCACTGAGTGGTTGTGTGTTTCAAAAGAAAGATTCTGTTTTTAATTTTCAATCGTTGTTTTTAAGTTTTTAACCTTAAGAAAATTATAGATATTCTGTGTGGTATCAGTGATATTATCCGCATTAAAGGTGCGTAGATTGTCTGATTGTATTGTTTGTATTTTTTTTTTTTGTATTATTGAGGATGAAGTTTTATTTATTTGAAAAGTTTTTATACCGGTCTTAAGGATGCTAATTTATTGTTTTTTTTTCTTGTTGTTTTTATTGGAACGCAACTTCTACATAACGTAGTCAAATACTAGGCTTTTTTCGCTGTAAATTATAATTTCAAACGAAATGAAGTAAGGAATTTAATCTTTATTTTTTATTTATTTTTCTTTGTTGGTAAATGTAAATGAATTTGACTTTATATATCTAAGATTGTACGTTTTATTTTTAATGTTTCTTGCTACAAATAAACAATTTGAGCAACACTATAAGAAATAATTAAAGTTAGTATTGGGTATTTATTTTATAAGAATTACAAACGAATCGCGATTTATTAAAATACCTACTTACAAAACATTTGTGAAGGTAGATAACTTAATAAATAATTGGGATATAAGTTGTAAAATTACCCCCCCTTATCTTAGTAATATTATAAATGCGAAAGTAACGATGTTTGGATGTTTGTGGGTAATCGCGCCATTTGAAAACGACTGGTCAAACCTGGATGAAATTTGGCACAGGCATAGGATACACTCCGAATAGGACATGGGAATTTTCTCAACATACTACGCGGGCGAAGACGGGGGCGGAAGCTAGTTGTATAATAAGTACCTAATAGTCACTTTAAAACCGGCGACAGTAATTCGTTATTTTTAACATTACAAAAAATACCTTAGACCTAGGTTTTTTTCGAAACCTATTTACATTGTCAAATTAAGTAAAGAAAGGTCTATTTAGGTATTTAAAACTGTAGTTTACCAAAGTAGTGTTTTTTGTGGGAGAAAATCATCCGAGGTCTGCATATCACGCCGAGCTGGGCCATCATACCTACATCATTGGGTTTACACCCGCTACCAGCAAGTTTAAGCCGGTGTTGAGTTATGGATCAAGTATGATATGTGGGTAAACATACGCCGGCGCGGTTTTCTCTTTTGTCTCCTTATTCCATAAAAAATATTATTACACAAAATCAAAGTCAAACCATTCATTTTTAAATAGAACACATCAGGTAACCTACCTTTGAACGTCAAACAAAAAACTAATATCAAAAGGTACAACTTTCTGCGTGTCAGTCTGTCCGTCTGTCCTCTAGTGAAGCTTTATAAAACTTACTCCCAAAGAATTCTATTAGCTGGTCGTATCTATATGTCATCTACTATTGGTGGAAGCACGATGTCTAATAATATAGGTACATAGCTCTCTTTAATAAATGTAGGTACTATCCAACACAAAAAGAATTGTTCCATTCGAACCAGCCGTTTCAGAGATTACCCCGTTAAAACATACAAACTCTTCAGTTTTATCATATTGTGTTTGATTTAAAAGTTTTATATCAATTGTTGCAGATGAGCGCCGTCGTTGATGTGCCGAAGTATAAGATGCTGGATGGCAGGGAGATGCCAGCTATCGGTCTTGGCACCTACCTAGGATTTGATAAGGTAAGAACGGAAGACCTTTTTTTAGTGTGATAAGTCGGCAAACGAACAGACAGATGGGTCAGCTCGACCGGATTAATACCACGGCATCACACAAAGCCGTCGTAAAACAACCACAGTGTTTTGTTTAGCCGTGTGACTGAAGTTACTGGAGGGCCAATCCTGCCCCTCCCCCATCCCTACACTACCCAATCCCAAATTCTCCGAAACCCTACTCCCCTAAAGACCGGCTACGCAGTCGTAACTCCTCTAGTGTTGCTGGTGTCCATGGGTGACGCTGATTAATACAACTTACCTTTAGGTAATCAGCAACGCATAAACGGTTTCAAAAGGAAAAAATAGTGAGGATATCCTGGACTGAACTATAATTTCTTATTCAAATCTCCAATCAGATCTGAAATCTTCAATCTGCCTTAAGCAAGCGTGATGATTAAAGCTCAAAACCTCCATGTGAGCACTTATAGGTGATGATATTGATGCACTCAATTTTTTATTTTTATGTCATTGGTCGGCAAACGAGCATACGGATCACCTGATGGTAAGCAATCAGCGCCGCCCATTGACACCCGCAACGGAGTATTTACGAGTGCGTTGCCGACCTTTTAGGGATTAGGGATTTGGAGATTTAGGGATTGAGGAGGAATTGGGGGCGGGGAAGGATTGGGCCTCCGGTAACCTCACTCACACGGCGAAACACAACGCTGTGGTTGTTTCACGCCGGTCTTCTGTGAGGCCGTGGTATCACTCCGGTCGAGCCGACCCATTCGTGCCGAAGCATGGCTCTCCCACACTTCTCCATGTGTGCACTTATACGCTGATGATGATGATATTGATGCACTCAATCTATGAACTACTTTTTTTCAGGGTGGTGCAGTCACATCCAAGGACAAACAGCTTCGCAATGTCGTAATGGAGGCCATAGACGTTGGGTATAGACACTTCGACACTGCTGCCATCTACAATACTGAGAGTGAAGTAGGCGAGGCTATTCGAATGAAGATAGAGGAGGGAGTGATAAAGAGAGAAGATGTTTTCCTTACTACTAAGGTGAGAGCGAGAGCAAAGATATTTACAAAAAAATGCTTATTCCTAAAAATTAATTAGTGATAGTTGTGTAGTGCTAGTAATCTACATAGATTAGGAATTAGAAATTGAATGCAACTTTAAAAACAATTACAAAATCGCCCAATACTGGAAAAAAAACTACATAAACTTTCACATGTCTGCTTTGAAGCCGTTTTTAATTCACGATAATTACTAACTTTTATGAAATGGAGAATCCTCATAATGACATTACCTTCATTACCTTTAGTTCAGGCGTTCTATATCCTGTAATACCCAGATCACAATTTTATCATAAAGTAGCCACCTGCGCCGGATTCGTAAGGATGCTATGCTGATACTAAATTCTTCTTCAATCACTCTATCTATCAAAAAAAAACCCGGATCAAAATCCGTTGCGTAGTCTTAAAGTTTAAAGATTAAAGCATACATAGGGATATAGGGACAGATAAAGCGACTTCGTTTTGTACTGTGTAGTGATTGATATACTTATTTATGAAGGCGTGGAAAGGGGATGTATAGAACGTCACTAATAAATGTTTCAAAATCTTCAGCTATGGAACACCCACCACAAACGCGAGGAAGTTATTATTGCCATGAAGGAGACCCTCAACAAGACTGGACTAGACTACGTGGACCTGTTCCTCATGCACTGGCCTATTGGAGTTAACGTGAGTATCAGCTCAAAGTTGGTGTGATGATGGAAGATGAGAAATAATAAAATATGGGTAGACGGCCTATGAGATATTTTATTTCGCTATTTGTAATGTTGTTTTTGTTACAATGCAATATTAATGTCTTTGTAATGGAGGGCAAATAGAATACTGAGTGCTATTCGAAAGTCCATAATATTACTAAGGATTTGCAATGGAAAAGACCCTAATAAGTCAATGCCCTCTCCGTTAAATATGCCTCTGACTTTGAAGTCAGCAGTGACATCTGTAATGATTGAGAATTAAAAAATATGTATTTACTCGAAAATACCCATTGTGTACCCGGAACGCTGGTCTATGGAAGACAGCTTATTTTTAAACGTCTTAAAAAAAGAAGGTTCTCATTCGATCCCATTTTTTTCTATTTTGTGTCTCATATATCATCGAAATTTTTAAACTTATTAACCTGCATAGTTCTGATATACTTATGTATATGATTAATTGACTCTTATATCCTTTCCACTTTTCCAGGCTGACTACACCCATTCTGACACAGATTTCATGGAGACCTGGCATGCCATGGAAGACATGGTCAAGCTAGGATTCACCAAGTCCATCGGCTTATCAAACTTCAATAAAATGCAGATCCAGAGAGTCCTGAATGAGGGCACCATCAAACCAGCCGCTTTGCAAATTGAGGTGCAAATAATGGCAATTTTTTTATCCTTTTTAGTCTTAGTAGTTAACTGGTATCTCCATCTTATGGTAAGCAATAAGCGGAATGGATGTGGAAGTGTGGGAGAGCCATGCTTCGGCAAATGGGTGAAAATCAGCGCGAAACAACCATAGCGTTGTGTTTCGCCGTGTGAGTAAGGTTACGGGAGGCCCAATCCTTCTACTCTCTCCCAAATCCATAAATCCCCAAAATCCTAATCCTTAAAAGGTCGGCAACACACTCGTAACTATTTCGTAGTTGCGGGTGTCCACTGTCCATGGGCGGCGCTGATTGCTTACTATCTAGTAATTCGTCTGCTCGTTGGCTATCCTATCACATAAAAGAATATGGACACTCGCAGCATTAAAAGAGTTACAAGTCCTTTGCCAGCCTTTAGGTGTAATATGGATGAAAGAGTTGGATCTTGGATACTTGACTTTAATATCACAGTACGCGGTCGGGCAGCTCATTGCACCAGAGTTACATTGTCAATGGTCTGCAGTATGTTAACCACGATACATTTTATAGTGGACAATGACAGTTTTAGTGGTTTACTAACTAGTTACACTAATTAGTGAAGTTACAACAATAAGAACAAGAGGATTGTGTGTGGGAGGAGGGAGCTTGGGCCATCGTTATCCACAATTAAATGGCTGCACACAAGGCAAGTTTGTTTCACGATGGTTTTTATGAGGCCGTTGTGTTACTTCGGTCGTGCCGAAGCGTGGTTCTCCCACAATTATTTTTTATTAGAGGAGATAGACCAAGCTTTAAAGCAAAGTGCCTACATTTTCAGGTCGTCTAATGATAAAAGACATCTCCAATACCAGAAGCGTCATTAGTATCTCTCAACCCTTCACTGTGATTCTTGGAGAGCAATCTTTCAACCAATCTTGTCATAATCTTTACAGGTTCATCCTCAGATCATACAAGAAGAGCTGATCGCCTTCGCCAAGGCGGAAGGTATTGTTGTAATGGGCTACAGTCCTTTCGGCTCCCTCGTCATGAGATTTGGCATGGAGTTCCCTGGGCCCAAAATGGATGACCCAGTTCTTACCTCGTTGGCCCAGAAATACGGGAAAACTCCTGCCCAAATCGTCTTGCGGTGGTTGGTGAGTTGAGTCTTAAAATTATTTTGTTATATACGTTTGTTGATGAAGTGGAATCTTGCAACTGTATTTTGAAGCAAACATCTTCAATCGATTGAGTTGAAGTTTTGTACACGGTATATGTTTAGGTTACATGGCCACACTTAATCCATGAAAAATATAGAAATCCTTTCTATCTTTCCTTCCTCCTTCTTAAGCTTTATCATCCTTTTTAAGCTTTATTATAATACTTGACCGATAAAGTATTTATAGAAGCTCATTGAATACAAACACTATTATCTTAACTCCTTTTAAGTAGAGATAATAAGCTACTGTGGAATTTTGAGTTAACGAGATTGCATTTTATATCGATGCATTATTTTATTAATTCAAATAAATATTCAATTCTAGCCTTTTTCAACATGTTTGTTGTTTTTCCAGGTCGACAGGAACGTAGTCCCGATCCCGAAAACAGTTAATCCAAAAAGACTGATGGAAAACATTAACATATTCGATTTTAAATTGGAAGAAGATGAAATCGAGAAGATCAATCAATTCGATTCTAACACTCGGTACACTTTACCGTCATTCTGGCAAACACACCCATATTATCCGTTTGAGCAGATACCTAACCCCATCCCTGATCCATTTAGGTCTTAAATTAAGGCCTAAATAGAGACTATAATTTGAAGTTGAATTAACATCTAGGTAGAAGGTAATGATTACATTAAAAAAATCAACTTCGTAATCTGTCACAGATTAAATATTGGCGCGGAATTTCAAAAGCACCTGAATTTATTTATCTAGATATTGATTTAGGAGATCAAAATCAAGACTGTATTTTAAATGTAAGACGTTTTTCTATAAATTATTCAATAATAAAATTGAATTCTTTTAATTATAATTATAGTCATTTATTGGTTATAAACTTATAATCTATCTACGATATATTATTTTCTAATAAAAAATCTATGAAGATAATTTTGTAGCTGTGTTTATTTTGCCCTTTGATTTCTGGACATTTAGAATTAAATATTCAAATAATCATTTACTCTACTGCTAATGTTTCCTTCGTAAAAAGCATAATTATTCTATCTACTATTACTACCACTAAACACAAAAATAGATCAATTTTGACGTGTCTTCGCACTGAAATCATTGCAGCATTCATCAAAACAATTTTAGACTCTGTGATTCATGTATTCTTCTCATAAATTTGAAGTGAAGTCATTACCTTTATCACTTGTAGGTATGTATTGAATCGATTGTTGGTAGATACATAGGCCATGCCGTCTAGAGTCTAGAATTCTAGATAGCCTATGCCCTCAACGTAAAACTATCAAAGAAGTCAACACATTGAAAGTTCTTTCAATATCATACGAAACGAAAACAATTTTGTTTATTTTATCATCAATCTTTTAATATAAATCAATGAGTTTAGTAAGTGGAATTTCGAAATTATTTACATTACCTTATATTTTTAGCTTAGAAAGAGATAAGGAGATGTGTTTACAATAAGAGTGAACGGAATCGATAATGATGTTTGGCTGTTTTGGTTCAAGATATTGATATTCTCATCGCCGAAACCTGTAACTTTTTTAAGCTATACTTTGAAGTTTATGTGAAAACGGAACTGGAACGCAAATAATGTTGCAAAGTTATAAAAAATCCCAAAAGAAATGGTAATATTTATAAAATTTTATGACAAAAGTATCTGGATTTTAATTTTTTTTCTTAAACATACTACTTATTTCTTTTTAATATTTATACCACTGTAAAAATTAAAAATAAAAAGTTTACTGTGTCAATGAAAACCAATTACTATATATTAAATTTTTATTTATTTATAAAACCTTTGAAAGTAGAATCTATCTACTGTTAAATTTAAATTCTAGTGATAAATATATCTCCACCAAATTACTCTCTCGTACCGCTATTATATGGAAGGACACCAAAAACTCAAAACTACATAAGTACAAGTATATTAGAGCTATCAAAATGAAACGATAGAGATAATTTAAATGTTGAGAATCTAATACGTATTGAGAAATAATACTTACTCAAGACATTCTAATATTCACATCTCGTTGAGTACACACCGAAGTTATTTCTGGCATGTCAATAAAACAACAAAGTGGGGAAAGTTATGTCAGTATGGTAACCCAGCGGTGCAGCTGATGAAGGACGTCTTTAGTTCGTCAGTCTGCGAAAAATCAAATAGAATTTTCCTCCATATTTGTTTTGTAAGTGGTGCACTTTGCACAAATAATTGTTTAGAAAAAGTGTTCTCAATCATACATTGTGGCTAAGGTAACGCCTTACCCGAGCATGAGTTATTCCGGAAGGAATAAATTCGAGGTAAGCAATAATCAATATAAATGTCATTGTTTGTGTTTTCGTTGTGATAAAAACAGCTGACATGGGCGCTGCGGGCCCATTTCTTTGTTCTCGACTCCCTTTATGTCATGTTCAGGGAATAGGGCTCCAATATAATCCTAAAACATGATAAAAATATCGATTTAAAGCCGAGTCCGGAATCATTGTCGATATGTTTATATGTTGCTTTGTGTGTAGATTAATCTTGTAGAAGATTTCTTTATCGCGTCGCGTCGTGATTATTATTTGTATATTTTTATAGTTTAATCACACGCGGTGCTCGGTATTCATGTTTTTCTTTGTTAGGTCAGTGTAAATGACCTCAGTCGCGCGGCCACTCAACTCATGAATTGCTTGTAAACCGTTATAATGATTGTTTTGTTAATTTTAAAACGTATTTTTAATGAAACGCGTACTTTCAGGATTTATACAATGTGTGCCTTTGCCTGTCAGAGAGGAATTGCGAAAGCGTTCATAAATTATCTGTTTTATTTTTTTTATTTTTAGCGGGAAAAATAAACATAAAAATTACAATGGACGATTTTCGTACGTACGCGACGCGTAATAAAATTGTTGTTTTTGTTTGCAAATGACGCCGCGACGCCGACTCGCTATATTTTGTTTATCAGATAAGGCATTATCAAGTCACATTGTCTACCATGCTTGTCAGTTTCAATTAGTTTTAATACCAATATCAATTATGGGCCCATTATATTCGAATTTACGTAATTTTATTTATTTAATTACAACTGATAAATGATTTATACATACCTACTTAAAATAAAAACCAGTTAGAAGATAGCATAGAGTCAAAAGTGCTAAGAATTGAAATTATGTAAATAATACACCTTTTAAATTATATTTATTGTGCAATCAAAGTCTTGTTACTTTTCAACCCATACATGTATGTTCCTAAAAATACTTTTAATTAAATTGTAATCCTTAATATTAGAAGTACTAAGTGTACAGACTAGTTATTACAAAAACATATTGTACCTATCATTTATTAATAACCAGGATTGCGAGTTAAGCGCAATGAGTCACCACAGCCTCGGCCCACAGCAGGAGAAGGAACAGGGGATTTTTAGTCAGTAAGAGTCAGACAGTCTCTCACACCTAACCCTGGGCCAGAGAAGTCATTTAGGCCCTTGACTGCTAGAGTTACTTGGTTTTTTTTGGTAATGACAAATTACCTTTTTTTTGAAGGGGTGAAAGTCTCTGTGTCATACTGGCTAAACGCAACCCCTTAACATCCACTAAGCCAGAGCCATGTAACATTATTGTGCTTGCATCCACGTCCCCTTTTAGTAATATCAGGAGTCTGGTATTATGCTCGGCGTAAGACAAGAACCTCATCACTAGATACATAGTACAAAACAAAGTTTTGTCTGTCCCTATATCCCTATGTATGCTTAACTCTTTAAAACTGCGCAACGGATTTTGATGCGATTTTTTTAGTAGATAGAGTGATTGAAGAGGAAAGTTTATGTATATAACAACATTCTTCGAATAGTAGAGAAGTTTAGTAATCAAAATTGCACCCATTGGAAGTTGGGACATGGAATTCAAAATATGCCTAGTGATAAATATATGTTACATAGTATATTGTACCTTCATTAAAAAAATCATTAACGTAATATATGAGGCTCTATATTTGACTCAAAAAAGGTTGTAATGAGTATAATTATGTTGTTACCACTTAATTTTAAATAAGTAATATGTTTAAATGAGAAAAGAATGCAAATGAAGAACTAGCGAAGTCAATGTATGAATTAAAACAATATTGTTCCACTAAATTACTTACTGGATACTTATAATTAACAAGTATGTTACTAGCAAGTACTTAAGTTTTTTTTGTATTTATTTATTACCGTCCCGGCCTTGCAAGGGTGAAATGCTGATACTAAATTTCACCATTATTTAATGGATGTTATTATAAATATAAACCTTACTCTGCAATTACTATATCCATTAAAAAAAACCGCATCAAAATACGTTGCTTAGTTTTAAAGATTTAGGCGTACATAGGGATAGAGGGACGGAGAAAGCGACTTTGTTTTATAGTATGTAGTGAAGTCCTGAAGATCTGGCGAAGCTTTTCTACTAAAATTATAAATGCAAATGTTTTTAAGTATAAACGGATGATGTTTGCTAGCCTTTAAAATAGAATATAGTCTGTTATTCTGTTTGTCAGTGATATGCATATGTAGCTGGAATAAATAATGTATCAGTGAAATTTTGAAACAAATATAATTTTTTAAAAGACTAATGATGGAGTTTCTTGTTTGTTCTATTCCATTTGAATGAACTTTAGATCGAGCACCTAGCTTCACTGAAAAACAGACTGACAGACTACTATTCTATTGGGACTTTTAAAAGTACCTATTTATGGTTTAGTTGGAATAAATTATTTTAGACTTTGAATTTGACTAAGATTCTTTTTTCAAAGTGTAGATTCGAATGGAAAAGGATGAGCTAAAAACTCCATTGTTACAAAATTTGCAATATCATTTGCAAGTTCGATCTCCCCTTTTTTGAGGGATGGAAACCACCCTCTGGAACTTTCAGGGAGTGTCAGAGTCTGACTAAAAACCCACCCCTTCCCTTCTGGGATTGGACCAAGCTGCAGATATTAATGTCCAGTTGTCCAGTGTCCATATACACCTATTTAAAAGCAGGTAGGTCACTAAAAGCTGAGCCCTAGTTGCTTACGAATCATATCTGAATATAACCAGTACATACAATTGAATCTTGAAGTGGTCAACTGCTATTCATGCAGGATTGTATGTGTGTACCTATCTATCTATTTATTTATTAAGTGTGGAAGAGCCAAGCTTCGGCACGAATAAGTCGGCTCGATCTGAGTGATACCACGGCCTCACAGAAAACCGGCGTGAAACAACCATCATATCGTTGTTTCGCCGTATGAGTGAGATTAGGTACCGAAGGTCCGATCCCTTCCCCTCTCGCTTCCCTTCCCAAATTATCCCTAAAAGGCCGACAACGCACTCGGAACTCCTTTGGTGTAGCGGGTGTCCATGGGCGACGTCAATTGCTTATCATCAGGTAATCTGTCTGCTCGTTTGCCAACCTATCTCATAAAAAAATATTATAAACGCAAATACAGGCATATGGATTGTTATTTTAGATATAGATAATATAATCTGTATCGCTGTATTTAGCTTTTCTTTTAGATTAAAAAAATCATGGCTATGAACTGAGTAAAGGTTACCGTTTTTGTTCACTAGATGGCGTTACCATAGTGTTAGGTCCTGTTTGTCCAACAAGTTTGTACAACAAGAGAATTAGCTATCGGCAATACATTGGACTTTAGTTAGAAGTGCACATTAATGACATATTATTTTTATTTTATAAAAAAACTCAAAAAACTGGAGGAGCTGCAGGGTGTCCCAAGAAGATGCCAAATATGAAAAGGATAACAAGTAGTAAAGTACCTACTAAAATACTATTTGATAAACATTTTTCATGAATAAAATTCTACTTATTTTTTTTATTGTAAGGTCTGCAGACAAGCTTACGTATCACCTGGTGAAAAGCAATAGACCATAGATCCCATAAAAGTAACGGTCGAGGTGCATTACTGGCATTTTAATAACCTATGTTAGGGATTTTAAGTATTGCAGATTAAAGGCGGGGCAGGATATTAACCCTGATTACCGCGTTGTGGCCTCACACAGACTTTGGTATCACTTCGGTCGAACCGGCCCATTCCGAAGCATGACTTTCCTACATGTCACAACTTGATTAATTTTTATAACTTGACATTGGAATATTATCAGGTTATTTGTAAACAGAATATTAATCACATATGTCGTTAGCAAATAATCTATTGATGCGTGGACCTAAAGCTACACTAGCGCCGTTAGTTGCGCGGAAACCTTCGGCTGTAGTGGTGGTGGTGTTTCGTTGTGTTAGTGGTGCAGTTTCTCAGAATTATTAGAATAGTGGTCTTAAGCATGGTTGTTGGAATCGAAATGGAAGATAAGGTTTGGATAAAGTTTAACTAAATATAAAAAATAATAAAACATAAATGCAAAATCACATAAATCGTTTATTTCAAATAGACCATTAAAAGCCACTTTCTTTTTTTGAGTATTGTATTGATTCATTGAGGCGCGCTTAGAACGCCGTATGCTCGGGTCTAATTCTGGTCGGGCGCCAAGCTTCCCTTGCTCCCCGTTCGCAGACCCGCGCTTACGGTGGCCAAAGATTGTCACGAGATCCTTCACGCTGGAGTAACTATCTCCAACTGCGGCTGCGGGGACATGAGGAGGATAGTTCCCTCACGCATTCCGTCTCGCTCCCTCTATTGCTTCCCAGAACGAGGATAGTGCGATAGGTCACTGCTGCCGATCACCCCTCGTTATATGATCCATCGCGTCCTCCAGGTGGTGTCGGTCAGTCCCCTAGTGAAGCTTTTTCTCGTTACAAAGTCTAGACTACAGTGGAAAAGATCGAGCGAGAAACTCAATGGTTACTTTTTTCAATCAGTTCCACAATCAAATTTTTGTTGCATTTTAATTCCATTATGAGAACAGTGAAATATTAATATTTGGACCCGCCCGTGCAGTGAAATTGAATCTGGCGTTTGTGTGGCCCCTCTTATGGGCAAGTAATTTCACAATCGGATTAAATTCCCAATAGTCCAATTGGGGAGTAATTTCACGTAAGTAACTTCCATACGAAATGTTTTCGTAAACTTACTTTTAGGGACCTGTAACTAGCAATGGGCGCCATCAATGGACACTTAACAGTAGAGTTACGAGAGCTTTGCTAGCCTTTCGGGCTTAGGAAAATAGGGGATTGCGCTGGGGGATTAGGCCTCCCTTAACCTCACCCACACGACGAAACACAACACTTTTCTCTAACACCATAGTATCATTCCGGTCGAACTGGTCCATTCGTACCGCAGCATGGTTTCCAGTGTTTTATATTTTGTTTTTCCTTCGTTACAGATCGCTCGGTTTTCGGGCGAGGATGAGAACCACATTAACCGCAAGCTCCCGAAAGAGCTGCTGCTGCGGATACTATCGTATCTGGATGTGGTCTCCCTGTGTAGGTGCGCACAGGTAAGCATCTTACTTCTTTACTATCTTAATATATAAAAAATAGATCGCAAAATATGGTAAGCGCATAGCTCAACATCGCCTGCACCAATTTTGCTAATTCTTTTTTTGTTGTGCTTGTTATTGTCAGGAGAAGGTTCTTATTAAAGAAAATATTAGAAAAGCAGAGGGCAAGATTGTCTGTCATTTTCGGGGAGTCATGTTTCCCGGAAATGACGATCCAAGTAAGCATTATTCTATCTGCAATGCTTTTGTTATGTGTATGAATATGTTGTGTATCATACTAGCGACCGCCCCGGCTTCGCTCGGTTGCAATGCTAATAATACTTTTCGTCACTATTTAATGGATGTTATTATACCTACATAATTATTCTTCCTCTTCAATCACTCTATCTAATAAAAAAGCTGAATCAAAACCCGCTGCATAGTTTTAAAGATTTAAGCGTACATAGGGATATAGGGACAGAGAAAGCAACTTTGTTTTATACTGTGTAGTGATAAAACAAATTCACATTTTCCCATGTTTGTAGGAAAAATTTCAGTATTTACTGTGTTGCAAATAGTCTTGGATAGACAAATACATAAATTTGATTATCAAATGCAAACGAAAAATACAATATTAAAGAACTACCTACTGTTACCTACTTAAAAAAATATGAGTTCAAACTGAAAGTTCAGCCCAGTATTTCTGCTACTCCACAAGTCTTAGTGTCAACCATTCAAAAAAAATTATACAAGACTTTTTGTAACTGACAAATGACGGATTACCTGATGGTAAGCAATCGGAACGCCGCCCATGGACGTGTACCTGACCTGTCCCACCAGAAGAGTTAGGAGTGCTTTGTCGGCCTTTTAGGGATTAGGGCTACGGAGATTTGGGGACTGGAGAAGGAGAGAAGGATTGGGCTTCCGTTAACCACATTCACACGGTGAAACACAACGCTGTGGTTGTTTCACGCCAGTTTTCTGTGAGGCCGTGGTGATAACTCCGATCGAGCTGACCCATTCGTGCCGAAGCAGCTCTCTTGGGTGATATATAATTATATAAAAAAACATCTTTATTTTCCAGGTATCGAAATTATGGAACATATTAGCTCTGGATGGTTCTAATTGGCAGAGAATAGACCTATTTGAGTTTCAAAGGGACGTCGAGGTAAGAATACTAATGTTTTTATTTATTTATTTTAACTGATTTAAGACTGCACGGTTGGCGCGGTAGCTGGGAAACTTGCTTCCGGGTGATTCTTCACAACAATTAAAAAAAATTTAATAATGTCATTATCCTCAACCGAAAATTAACGAGTCTGCTGATTAAAACACAGATAATTATTTTATTAAATTAAATCTCACCACTGCTTACAAGCAACCGATTAAAAATATTGTATAAAATAAATTACTAAGATGCTTAAAAACCTGGGAGGATAATGACTTGTTAAATAAAAGTTAAGGTTTTTTGGAGAATCACCCTTCCGCGGTTCGATTCCCGCACGGAACAACTCTTTATGTGTTCCACAGATTGTTGTTCCTGGTCTGGGTGTGATGTGCATGTGCAAATGTATGTTTGTAAACGCATCCACGACATGAATCCTAGTGTGCCCTCAACACCAAAAGAGTAGCCGGCCTTTTAGAGATAAGGGTTCCGGATATTTAAGGATTGGGAAGAGATGGGGTGAGGGCAACCTCACCCACACGGCTAAACACAACTCTGTAATTGTTTCACGCAGGTTTTCTGTAAGGCCGTGGTATCACCCATTCGCGTCAAAGCATAGCTCATTATTAAAGAAAAATGTTCTGTTGTCCCCAGGGTCCTGTAATAGAGAACATATCACAAAGATGCGGCGGTTTCCTCCGGGAGTTGTCGCTGCGAGGCTGCGAGAGTATAGGTGACTCCTCCATCAAATCACTGGCACATGTATGTATTATCATCAGACTGTTTCTCCATGTCATTTTTCACCCGAACACCCTCCTTTTTTGTGAAGGGAAAATCATATGACTTCCCCGCACATGGTGAGGCGAGAGGGAGTGCCAGACTCTTCCTGACTAAACCCCCCCTCCATTTCTTGTCCTACTCTAGGCCGAGGCTGCGGTAACTTATTGTGCTAGCCCCGTAACCCCCGCTGCCCGACTAGAACTATACAAGAGTCAATAGACCTTTACAGATGGGTCCCTTTAGCGCTGATATTCAGCAGAAGTTGCGGGGCAATAAGGTACCTCCTCCTCTCTCTAGACTCTAGAGCGGGAGAAAGAAAGTGATTTTTTAGTTAATAGGAGTCTGACACTCATTCTCGCCTCATCCTGCCTGGGCGAGAGAATACATTCAATGATTTTCCCCTGACAAAAAAAGGCTTCCTGTTATGGTGACAACGCAGGTGAAGCCACAGGTAAAGGCTAGTCTTATTCAACATCCTCTCTATCTCCATCAAGAAGATGTCCTCTGCTAAACAAGTAGTCCTTACAGTCATGAGTGTCTGTCTGTGTTTGCAATAATCTCAGAAACAACTGCACAGATTTTGATTTTGTATGTGTTTTCTACTTTCAGTCGTGCCCGAATATCGAATACCTTAATCTGAACAAATGCCGTAAGATCACAGACGCGACCTGCCAGGCTCTCGGCAAGAAATGCAAGAAGCTCCAGCGGTGAGTTTTTAGATCTTATAAATCATTGATTAAGTAAAGAAAAAGAATCACTGACTGAATTATCTGTGTTCCCTGAAGTTTTTAACCTGGGTGTCTTCAAAAGAAAAAAAAATCATTTATTTCTGCGTAGAGTGATATGATTAAAAGACTTGGATCTTGGATACTTGACTTTAATATCACAGTACACAGTCGGGCAGCTCACTGCACCATTAGAGTTACATTGTCAATGGCCGACACTCTCTCGGCCACCTTATTTATAGTACAGGATGACAATGACATTGACAGTTCTAGTGTGACAATGATTAGTATGACTAATTACAGATAATACAACATACACATAAACTAGAACTACCTACAACAAAATAATAATAAATTAATATTATTATTTAAACATAGAGTTTATATAGAAGCATTCTCAAGAACTGTGGAAGAGCCATGCTTCGGTACGAATGGGTCGGCTCGACCGGAGTGTGTGAGTTCCCTTCCCCCAATCCCTAAATCTCCAAATCCCTAATCCCTAAAAGGTCGGCAACGCACTCGTAACTCCTCCGTTGCGGGTGTCCATGGGCGGCGCTGATTGCTTACCATCAGGTAATGCGTCTGCTCGTTTGCCGAACTATCACATAAAAAAAAACATCTTTTGGATTGTCAGTATGCGTATGTGAGCGCCATGTTCGAGACGATAAAGAAATTAAAATTTAATGATCCCGTCATCTCTCTCTCATCGTTTATGATATTTGTGTATTTCAGGATAAACCTGGACTCGTGTTCCAACATCACAGATGTATCACTGAAGGCCTTGTCAGACGGATGCCCGGTAAGGTCCATATTTTTTTTTTAATATTATCATACTAGCTTATACCTAGACTTCGTCCATTATATTCTATTAAGTTTTTTTTAGCCTAAGTTAATCCTGATTACATCTATATCTACCAATAAAAGTCTGGTCACTATCACTCAAGCCATTTCAAAGATAAGCCGGAACAAACAGACCGACAACAATTTTTAAGTGTTATTTTTGTGTATACACCCTATATATTCATCATATATAGATGTATAGATAATTCTATTGGTGTTCACTGGGGTTATAGCAGTTAAAAAAGTATTTTATTCATCATTTCCGGGGAGTAACTCACCTCGGAAATGACATCACTTATTACACAATAATTTTTAAAGTGTACACAATGGCACAGTTGATCTTTTTCCTCAACGGTCCGCAACGCATTTATGATAGCTCTTTATAAGGCCGATACGATGTCCGATCAAAAACTCAATTCTTGTTCTTACAATTCCTCATGAGAATTAACGCGATGATTTTTAGTCAGTAAGGTATAAACATTGCTTCTCTCCCCACCTTGAAAAAGTGCCGCCTTGCGGTACCACGTAGAACAGATCATTTTCGGGAACGCCCTCCCCGTAAATGACATGCAAAAAAAAAACAGACAGTGGAACGGAGTGGTTTTTAGTCAGTAAGAGTCTGACACTCCCTCTCGCCTCAATCTGGACGGGAAATTATTTTATAATATTTATTTATTTATTTCATGTACAAAACACATTACAATCAAATATTATTAGCTTAAAAACTGACGGCCTTATTACAAAACAAGGTTTTACTTTAGTCTAGGACTAAACCATTGAGCCAGTTTTCGTATTTCGAATTGAAGGTAGATGACAATCAGATTCAAAATTCAAAACCCGACTCAATGGTTTAAACCTGGACTAAACATAAACCTTGTTTTGTAATAAGGGGGTAAAGGTTTTGATCTAGATAGTAACGTAACAATATGTGCATACTGCAAAATCACAAGTCATAAGTATTAAAAAAGCTCCAAAAGGGACAAAAAGAAACAAGAAGTAGAAACTAAAAAACATAAAGTGACGTGTGTCAACACTGGTTAGTGGTTAATAGTTCCGATAATGTCATAAAAATGTAACATTATATATCAATATATATAAAAATGAATCGCAAAATGTTGGTAAGCGCATAACTCAGTAACGGCTGGACCAATTTTGCCAATTTTTTTTTTTTTTTGTTATATTCTTTATTATAAGGAGGAGAAGTTCTTACGAAATAAAACTTTGGAAAAATGAAGAGGAATAGCTGGAATCAACAACCCTTACGGTGCCGTGGCCGTTCGCTTGCGAAACAAATGACTTATAATGGGTAGTCGGATACCCGTGCGAAGCAAGGGCAGTCTGCTAGTTTTCTATAAAATAATATATAATGTAATATGTTACAGCTCCTTACACACGTGAATGTGTCATGGTGTCAATCAATCACGGAGAATGGAGTGGAAGCCCTGGCCCGCTCCTGTCCGAGGTTGAAGACTTTTATATGTAGAGGTATGTATCAGCTCAGTGTGGGAGAGCCAAGCTTCGGCACGAATGGGTCGGCTCGACCGGAGTAATACCACGGCCCCACAGAATACCGACGTGAAACAACCACTGCGTTGTGTTTCGCCGTGTGAGTGAGGTTATCGGAGGCCCAATCCTTCCCCTCCTCCGATCCCTCCCAATCCCTAAATCTCCAAAACCCTAATCCCTAAAAGGTCGGCAACGCACTCGTAACTCCTCCGTTGCGGGTGTCCATGGGCGCCCATGGACACGATCTAACATTGACTTTTAAATTTATTCTTTTCTTTAATAAATCAAATAAATATTTTACTAACATATACACTTCTCAGGGCCGGTTTTCAAGTGGTGCCAGAAATAAAAATTGCGTCGTTCCAAATAAAAACTTAGTTTAGAAGACTTTTATTTGTCCTTCTGTCTCGAAGGAGTTACCAAGTGCGTTGTCGGTCTTTTGGGGATTAGGGGTCCGGAGTTTGGGGATGGGAGGAGAAATACCGCCACTGAAGGAGCATTTGTTTTGCAAGTTTTGTTGTACGGTCTTCTACAGTTGTATGTGTCCGTAGTCGGTGCTAATTGCTTACCATCAGGTCATATGAGCTCGTTTGCTACCTTAAAAAATATTAAAAATATATATAATTTGGTTATATGACATGATTTATTTATTTATTTATTTTTCCCTACAGGTTGTAAAAATGTTAACGACAAATGTGTTTCGACGCTAGCCACATACTGCCCCGAGCTGCAAGCGCTGAACGTACAAGGCTGTGATGTGAGTACCCCCATCTATTTCTCAACCTTACACGCTAAGTTAAGCAATTTAGAACTGAATATTGTGAAGTTAAAACAGCCGTTCAGTCAATCAGTAAGCGGATGGATGGGGGCTGATGTTCAGTACGGGTTGCGGGGTAAGCGCAAGAAAGTACGGTAGGCCTGGCCTGGAACGGAAGAAGGAACGGGGGGGTTTTAGTCAGTAAGAGTCTGACACTTTCTTACACCCCACCCAGGCAACGAGAAGACATTTGATGTAGTACCTATCTTTTGTATATGCATATGATAGGTCGGCAAACGAGCAGATGGATTACCTGATGGTAAGCAATCGGCGCCGTCCATGGACACCCGCAACGTCAGAAGAGTTACGTCTGCGTTACCGTGGTCTTTTGGTATTAGGGATTTGGTGATTTTGACATTGGGGGGAGAAAGGATTTCTCTCGTGGTAACCTCACTCACGGTCGAGCCGACCCATTCTTGCCGAAGCATGGCTCTCCCATACTTCTTTCCTCACAAATAACGGTTATCGACCTTAAAACATACAAAAAAAAAAGCAATCAGCCGTACATAGTACCTCGTCTTTTTTTTGAAGTTGGTAAAAAGACCGACAGATCGACACTTTTTATTTTTCAAGCTTGACGTTCAAAAGTGCTTGTAAGGGTCTAACTGGAATATATTTTTCTATTCTCATACGGTAACATCATAAAAATTTACAATCTAGCTTTAATGCTAATAAGTAATTCAATTTTGTCTTAATTTGCTAGGAAAGTATAACTAAGAATGTCCATTAACACTTTTCTTATAGTCTCTATTAAGGGAAAGACACTTTTTTTATTGTAAATTTTGATATATAGAGGTATTTTGATTTCGACTTTGACTCAGTAAGAGTGAGACTTTCTCTTACACCACTCAAAGCATAAGAAGACAGTATACAGGCTGTAAAAAACACTTAACGAAGCCGAAAGCCACGTATTCTACCCATTATTTGGATCATTTTTTTCTTTAAGACCATAGCTGGGACTCCACGGGTTCTCGAGATATTGAAGGTCAAAGATGCATATTTTTTGCGCAATCGAATTCTAAGTATTATTACATAACCTTTTTCCAAACAAACATTACCTGAATTTTCGATTTTTCTAAATAAATTACGCATTTGAAGTTACGAACAGTAATGTACGTAATAAATAAATGCAGACCCGCACAAAAAACATCTGGACTGGTAGAGAACGCCTAAGGCGTTAAGTCCGCCATTGGACGTTGTGCTAGAAGTGTAAAATAAATAAATAAATAAATAAGACAGTTGATGAAGTCCCTTCGTCAGTAAAAAGGGTGATAGAATGTCGGTATGTCGGTGTACAGCAACTGACGGACGAGTCGATCAGCAAGCTGGGCGCGGGCATGCGGCGCCTGTGCGTGTCGGGCTGCGGCCGGCTGACGGACGCGGCGCTGGCCGCGCTGGCCGCGCGCTGCCCCGACCTCGTCACCCTCGAGCTGGCCCAGTGCACGCAGCTCACCGACGCCGGCTTCCAGGCCTTGGCCAGGGTAACTATCCCACTTATATATATTTGTAAAAACTTATGTATGTTTTTTTTATGATATAAGCTAACGAGCAGACGGAATACCTGATGGTAAGCAATCTCTAATATGAAATAGTCACTAATATGTTACCAGCTATTTGATGGTTAAAGATTTGAGGATTTTGAGATTGAGGATAAGGGGGGAAATCAATTATGTTATTGTGTTTCAGTGGTCAAGGCTTTGAGATTTTGGGATTAGGGTCATCCGTTAAGTGGCTAAACATTTTAGGATTTTGCATTGAATTGATTGAAAAGCACGTTATAATTGTGTAACGCCGGTTATTTTAGGGATAATGGTCGAGTGACGGCCCATTTTTTCGTATGGCAAATGATCAGACGGATTACCTGATGGTAAGCAGTCGGCACCGCCTATAGACCCTCACAATATCAGAGGAGTGACGTTAGTACAGTTTCGCTGGTCTTTTGGAGAAGAAGGTTTGAGCCTTTTCTTAAGAATATACTATAAAAAGTATATTTTGTTTCCATACAGAGCTGCAGGATGCTGGAAAGAATGGATCTAGAAGAATGCGTGCTGATCACAGACAATACCCTCGTACATCTCTCCATGGGATGTCCACGCCTCGAGAAACTGGTCAGTATATACATACATGCATAAAGTATCAATCAGACGCATGTTAAATATAAAAAAAGGACTAACTCAAAAATGAGGATATTCCAAAATTGCCGGGGCTGCGGGGTAAGCGCAATGAGGCACCGCGACCTCGGCCCAGAGCAGGAGAAGGAACAGGGGGGTTTTTAGTCAGTAAGAGTCTGACACTCCCTCTCGCCTTACCCTGGGCGGGAGAAGTCATTTGATGATTTTCCCCTGACAAAAAAAAAAAAAAAAGGATATTCCAAAATTGAACCTTATTATTGAAGCATAATTTTTAAGATTCAAATACTTTATTTTTTGAGTTAGGTCTCTTTTCTGTTTAACATGCGTATGTATATAAATGTCCGGGTCTGGGTGTGCAGTGTGTGCACCCACGACACAGGAGAAAATCTTAGTAAAGGGTTACTTTTTTATGAATTTGTCTTTCGATTCTATGCCATTGGGCAAACATGGAATGTAAATGTTTTCTCAGTTAACTTTCTTTCTTGTACTTCAAGAAAGAAAGTAATTTGTAAGTTTGTATATAGGGGGTTGGCACTCGGAATTCCTAAATTCTTACACTGATAGACAGCTACAATCTTCCTGTGTGCTTATAGGCTATAAATTATACTTGATTAGCGTAATTTAGTCGAGATATCGCTTTAAGCGCTGCTGTTTTTAAAAGCCCGGTATATATTACTTTTAGGTATACGCGTTCGAAGCCGTGGTCGGGAGCTAGTTTTTTATATAAAAATAATAATTATTATTATAAGTTTGAAATCGCCAATCCGCGTTGATCAAGCGTGGTAGTAAATGCTCAAACCTTATCCGTATGAGAAGAGGCCTTTGCTCAGCAGTGGGCACTAATAGACTGATGATGATGATGATGATATTATAATTACCATGTATGCTTCAGACGCTGTCACATTGTGAGCTGATCACTGACTACGGCATCAAGCAGCTCTCCATGTCTCCGTGCGCCGCTGAACACCTCACTGTACTAGGTAACATATAAATCGATATTTTTAACATCATGACTGTTACTCCCACGACCCCGGTTTCCGGATGGCCTTGTCCGTAGTTTTTATAAGCCATCAGTCATTGGGAAGACCCGAGCTCTTCCTGGAAGAACAAATATATTTTCCGTAAATTCCGGGGCTCAGTTTACCCCGAAAATGATGAATTAGCAGAAACGCTATACGGAAGTTCCAATAGGTAGGATGCTTAGTCGAAAATCATATTCGCTGCCATTTCCGGGGCACAGGTCACCCCCATTTTATGGCGTAGAAATGGTTTGGACATAAATATATAACTACGGTTTACGTCGTTGGTTTTTTATGATGTAGACCGGCAAAAGAACAGACCTTTGACCTGATGGTAAGCAGTCGTGGCAGCCCACTGCATCGAGGCGCTTACAAAGAGGAAGGAGTGGGTCGCTAATTACTAATTAAGTACATAATCTATACTAATATTATAAACAGGTAAAAGTAAGTTTGTATGTAGGAGTTAATCTTTGGCAGCGCTGGTCGGATTTCCAATATTCTTTCACTGATAGATAGCTACAATGTTCCTGAGTGCTACATGCTATAAAACATCACGCTACGATTAAATGAAGCCGAGCAGCGGATGAAACCGCGAGAGCGTAGCTATATATTATAGGTATTGTTATACAGACTTTGTTAAAAGTCTTTTTAAAAAAAATAGAATTTATATTAAACTAGAAAATAAAACGAAAATTGGATTTTTATAAGACAACCGTCTGGATTGGGATGTGGATGTAGATTGAAGAGAGGTTGTGTGTAAGGAGATAGCTTGGATGGAGAGGGGAGTGGAGTCAGGACTGAGTCAGGACTTAGCAAATAGGCGAAGGATGGGAGCCTATGACAGTATGTAATTTTGTTCCGCAGGCCTAGACAACTGTCCCCTGGTGACTGACGGAGCCCTGGAACACCTGATCTCCTGCCACAACCTTCAGCTCATCGAGCTCTACGACTGTCAGATGGTCAGCAGAAATGCTATTCGGAAGCTGAGGGTATGTTTCATTATTTACATTTAGACCGTCATAGTCATAATAATTTCTTAATTGTAAATTGTAAAACTAATTATAAGTGACAAAGAAATTAAGATCTTATACCTACATAAATTCAGTCCGTTTCGCCGTGTGAGTGAGGTTGCCGGAGGCCCAATCCTCTCCCTTCCCCATCCCTTCCCAATCCTTAAATATCCGAAACCCTTATCCCTAAAAGGTCTGCAACGCACTTGTGACTCCACTGATGTTGCGGGTGTCCTTGTGCGGCGCTGATTGCTTACCATCAGGTAATCGGCATGCTCCCTTGCCGTATTATCACACAAAAAAATGGGCCGTCGCCTCGACCATGATCTCTAACAAATCCGGAGGTTCAATCCTCCCCCCATCCCTTCCCAATCCTAAAATATCGAAACTTTTATCCCTAAAAGGTCGGCAACGCACTTGTACTAATTCCTATGGTATTACAAGTGGCCATGGGTGGCGCTGATTGCTTACCATCAGGTATTAGGTATATCATTTTCAACGCTTTTAAGACTTATTGTGTTTTAAATAAATAATTTTTCTGTCTTCCACAGAATCACTTGCCCAATATAAAGGTGCACGCTTACTTCGCACCAGTGACTCCCCCCATGGCGGGTGGGGGGGCGCGTCCCCGCTACTGTCGCTGCTGTAATATCATATGAAGGGATCTACGACAGCTTTTTTGTCACGGTATGTATAACATCCAAACTATATAATATTATAAATGCGAAAGTAACTCTGTCTGTTTATCTGTATTTTCTTCACGCCTAAACTTCTGGACCGATTTCTGTGAAATTTGGTACGGACATAGTTTGGAACTCGAGAAAGGACATAGGATAGTTTTCGAACCAAAAATCTGCAGGAAGTCACTATTCTACGCGAACAAAGTCGCGGGTAAAAGCTTGTTTTAATATATACTAGCTTTTTATATCATGGGCTTAAGTCATTCTGTCTCCTGCAGTAAATTACCGAGGGAAGTGGAAACTATTTTGTTTTTTCTTTTCCTTAAATAATATCTTCTGGTTTATTTCGTTGCGGGATCCAAGACAGTCATTCATGCCCTGGGACGCGGCGAACTTCAGTGTTTGGGTATTTTCATGGTTGTATCTACTGTAGATCCTGGTGAACAGGAGTGGCAGCGGTTTAGGGAGGTTGCGGCGGACTTGTCCCAAATAAAAAAAAACACACACAACAGCTTCCTGCCAGCGGTTTCGTTCGCACAAAAAAAAATGTTATATATGTAATTTTAATGATATTATACAAGTTCTTTTTCCAAAATTCCTATTTTTAATTTTTAATAATATAACCTTTCTTTTCAGATGGGATTCGAACCCGCAACAGGTCGCAGTGGCATACACCAATCGCTCAACTTAACCAACAGTGTCTAACGAACCATGTTCTAAAGTTTGTATATGTATATTTATAAGCGAGTACCTCCTAAACTGCTTAACAAATTTTGATACAATTCGACTTAATTTTATTATAACATTTTAATGTTTTCTTCGCCTCTGTCTATGTGTAGAAATTGTTTTAATTGTATCAAAAAAAGTCTTATAGCATGAGCCATGCGAAAATAGCTCTTATGACTAACAAAATAAAATCGATTATATTTGACTGATTCTCTGTCACTGTCGCTCAAGAGTTGAAAGAAAGAGATAGAATACAAGGATGGTCTGCAAAAAAAGTTGACTACAGATAATAGGTTTTGCCACTGATCTGCTAACTGTACTCTGGAGCAACGACATAGTTTATGTTATAATAATTTTCTTTGTGTATAAAAAAATCCCCGGATTTTGTATGTTTTTTTTGCGTACCCTACATTTTTCGAAATGTATCGACGAATTTAAGGTTTTCACTGCTATTTCTAATACAGTTGAAAGAATATTTTTTTTACTAAAATTACTTTAAGTATATCAAAATGTGACTTTGGGATCGAATTTTCGATATATTTTCGTTTTGTATTTATATCTATTATACTAATGTTATAAAGAGGTAAAATTTGTAAGTTTGTATGTAGGGAGTAATCTTTGGAACCGCTGGTCGGATTTCCAAAATTCTTTCACTGATAGATAGCTACAATGTTCCTGAGTGCTATAGGCTATAAATTATACTGGATTTGCGTATTTTAATCGGGCTACCTCTTTAAACACTGCTGTTTTGAAATACCCGGATATATTACTTTATTACGCGTGCGAAGCCGCGGGCGGAAGCTAGCTATAAAGTTCCTGAATGACATGGCTATAAAACATCACACTACGATTGAAACAACGCCAGAATATCTAGTCAAGTATACTTTATAGCCTATAGCACTCAGGAACATTGTAGCTATCTATCAGTGAAAGAATTTTGGCAATCCGACCAGCTGTTCCAAAGATTACCCCCTACATACAAACTTACAAATTTTACCTCTTTATAATAGATGATATAGATAGTATAGATGAGTTTGTCTTTCTGAATAGAAACCATTAAGAAGTAGAATTTCTGTCTACATTAGTATTTTTTTTTTTTATATTTTTCTGATTCCGTAATTCGTCAGTAAATAATTTATCGAAAATTCGATACTTTTTTGATTAAATTTGTAAAATTTCGGGGCAAGTGATATTATAATATTATTCGTTTAGTAGTTATTAAGTTTAAAATGTAAAACGAACTTAAATTAAAACAATATCGATTCCGAATTCGCGATTATATGTTATAATTGTATGCTTTAAGTAGATTTCTTAAATATCATATATGTAACTTGCGTATTATATTATATAATATGAAAAAAACTAACTGAAATATACATTTTAGGAATTATTATATCAAATCGTCTATAGTCAATGGGATTTTCTTGTGAAAATATGAAATACTAGATTTTTCCCGAGACTCCGTTCGCGTGGAATAGTGACTTCCTGTAGATTTTTGGTATAAAAACTATCCTATGTCCTTTCTCGAGTTTCAAACTATGTCTGTACCAAATTTCACAGAAATCGGTTCAGTAGTTTAGGCGTAAAGAAAATACAGACAGACAGACTCTCCCACACTTGAAAATAATCAAATATAAAGTGTGCTTCGTCACGAATGGGTCGGCTCGACCGGAGTGATACCAGGGCCACACAGAAAACCGGCGTGAAACAACCACAGCGTTGTGTTTCGCCGTGTGAGTCAGGTTACCGGAGGCCCAATCCTTCCCCACCCCCAATCCCTCCTCAATCCCTAAATCTCCAAATCCCTAATCCCTAAAAGGTCGGCAACGCACTCGTAACTCCTCCGTCCAAGGACGGCGCTGATTGCTTAAAAAAAACACTATCCTAACCTACCTATAACCATATAAGTCTTCAAAAGACATATATATCTCTTTCTTATAAGGACTGTTAAAAAAGGACAGCAATTTTTTCTTTTTTCACAAGAAAATCTCAAGTGACGAGTAAAGTCCAAAAAATGTTCACTTTTCTATTGCTATTAACTGCGTTTTTTTATATTATTGACGACTAAGTTTGCGATTAGTCGGTCAGACTTGTCGCAGGACTAACGCACGATGCTGTGTTATTTTTATTTTTAAGGGCTAATTTTCAATGGTCAGATGAAAGTTACCTGGGGAATAATTATGATGCTGTCGCGTCAGAATGTTTGTATAAGACAGAGACAGCAACAATTTTATTTCTCAGAAAACATTTATTTGACTATTGAAAAATCTGTCTTTTATTGTAAATCGTGTACACTTATAGGGTAAGCTATGTTGGATTGTGTAATAATTATAATAGTTGGTAGTTAAGAGATTGTCCAGACAACTGATGGTAGTCCACAGACGAGGCCTTATAAGGCTGATATTTAGCCAGCGTTGCTGGTTTAAGCCCAGTTTTTGTAAGAGGAAAATCATCAAATGACTTCTCCCGCCCAGGGTGAGGCGAGAGAGAGTGTCAGACTCTTACTGACTAGAACCACCCCCGTTCCTTATCCTGCTCTGGGCCGAGGTCGCGGTGCCTCATTGCGCTTACCCCGCAACCCCGGCTGAACATCAGCCCTATAGGGCCCCGTCTGTGGTGGTCTATTGGCTCTTTGAGGCACGCGCGGAACGCTACGCGCCGTACGCTCGGGTCTGGTTCTTGTCGGGCGGCTACCCTTATTACCCTGTTATATCGTCCTGGGCAAATGGCTCAATGATCTATCGGTTTAGGTTAACTAGAGGCAAAAAATCTTGACATGTCTTTTTATATTAAAGAGCTCGTATAAAATACATACAAAGATTATTTAAATTCAGTTTATTAGCTAACATCGATTTAGATAAAACAACAATTTTTAGATAAAAACCATTTCAAGATTGGTTACATTTAGTTAATTACCTAAACTATAGTAGGTACTGGTTTAAAAAAGCAGCTCATGTAGTGCAGATGTCCAATCAACTGATGGTAGCGGAGACTGTCCAGGCGACACACGTACTTAGGTATCGTCATGAGCTAATGTTCACATGTAAACAGCAGCTCATGTAGTGTAGATGTCCAGTCAACTGATGGTAGCGGTGACTGTCCAGGCGACACGAATATCGTCCCATAATTGCATTTTAAATATTATGTCTATTATAATTGTTACACAGCCAACAAAAATGTTATATTGTCTACATAAAATTAGATTTTAAGTAGTCGTTAAATGTTCTAACAATAATATTCAAAATATTGACTATCGTGGATGTCACGAAAAATTCACAGTAATGTCGGCAAATTGTATCAAAAGTTCCGAAGAGTGACTTAGGCTGGGCTTTTCCTGCGACCAAAAAGAATTTTCCTATGAATAAATCCCTTTTTTATGCTACTCACGTCTGTCTGTTACGCGTAGCTGTATCGATGTTAGTCACTAAGTCATCGGCAATGGAAGAGCTTTTGCAACCATTTTTCTTAGGAAATTAATATAATTTGTCGATATTATTAAAAACTAGGTGTATTCTCCCATAATATTGACTCAAAGCATTTCAATATGTTACTTAGTGATCAATTATTCAATATCGTATAAATATAATAATAAATGTAGCGGCTGCCTGAAAGTATTTATGAAAATGTACTGAAACATTAATGAAAAGACCAAGTCTTCTTACGAAGTGGACCAAAAGACCAGTCTTCTATGATTGAAAAACGATGTTTTGGTGACTGTCGGAAAGTTATCTGTTTGGTTTTTTAGTAAAATGCCATGAATATCCACCGAAAAAGACGAAAAGAATGGTCTACTTAAAAAAAAAGTTTTTATTCGCATCGGTTGCATAGGTTTTTGGTATTCGAAACCTGGCAAGTATCAAATGTAACTTGGTATTATTTCGAAACCTCACGGTTGAGAATCTGAGTCCTTAACCGTATGACCTAAGTCTTTAAGTTATAATAGACAAATTATTTTCCTTATCATCATCCTAATTTTTTAAGAAGACCAGTCTTTTCGTCTTTTCTGTGGATACTTCTTGTTACTTGATTTTAATAATATTGTTATATGAAACCATCGATCACTAATAAAGAGTTCTTTATTAGTGATCGATGTATGAAACTCATGACATAACTTTTATTATGGTATAGTTCGGCAGACCTGATGGTAAGCAACACCCATGAACACGTTTCCGGCTTAAATCACACGGTGAAAAGCAAAACTATGGCTGTTTCACGCCTGTTTCCTGTGAGGCCGTGGTATCACGCCCATTCGGTGCCCTACCATGGCTCTCCTACACTTCTAACGTGGGGAAAACTGGTCTTAAAGTATGATTTTTATAAATATTCCTCAGGTTAGGTAATTTTTTCTCTCATTCCTGTATTCAGATATTACAGATATTTAGCCATTGTATCAGTCGACTGCTGAAACTCTGACGCTTGCTGAGTAATCTTTGGGATCTTGAACTAACTGTGATCTGTTTTAAAAGGTGAACGAATCTTAATAGGAGACTGTGATTTATGTAAAAAATAGTTTTCATAGTCAAAAATATATTTATAAAAATCAATGCCATTTTATGTGGAATGTTATAACTCAACAATGCTTTCACCGATTTGGCAATTTTTTTTTTATTAAAAAATTTCGTTGCCCCACATTAGGATTTTCTCCTGTGTCGTGGGTGCGTTTACAAACATAGTAATTTCACATACACATCACACCCAGACCCGGAACAACAATCTGTGGATCACACAAAGAGTTGTTCCGTGCGGGAATCGAACCCGCGACACGTTGCGCGGCAGCCAGTTGCCCAGCCACCGCGCCAACCGTGTAGTCCTATTTGGGTCTTGAATCGTTCGTGGTAGTCCAGAAAAGGTTTTTACGTAGATAAAATCTGTAAAATCGACATCCACGGCCGCGGGCGACCATTAGTACCATATAGGTACTTTTGAAACGTAAAATAGAATAGTCTGTCAGTCTATTCGTCAGTCATAAGTCACAGTCCCCCATTAAGATGGGAGGGTATTGAATTAAATATGAATAATTAAAATAATAAATAATTAAATGTATGTGATTTATAATTAGTATACATTATATGTATTAATTGTGGTATCC